GCGTTGGCAGAGTTTCCATTCATTAGGTTTTCGCTAGCACGGCTCCCAGGTTGGGGTACTACAGGGCTGCACGAACCACTATCCGCACGAGCAAGGCAGAATGCCGTGGAAGCATGCGAACCACTAACATAAAATTGGTTTTCTGTATTCACAGGAGTGTTACACTGACCTTGCCGTATGCCATAGCTGGGATTGGCCCGCAGTAAAATATCGTTATGGTTGTGGACATGTTCATACAAACATGTGCCACTGGTTCTGTTTGAAACGACCGTTGACGGCTCGTTTCCGTACACGTCCTCATACACCTTTGATTCCGTCAGGTCTTCGTACAATGTGCTACTCGATGAACTCTCACTTCCATCCTGCCTCTTTCTTGACTTCCCAGGCTTCCCACCAGAGCGGACGGAATCCTCCAGCCCTAGAGCTGCTCGTGGCGTGCTTGCGTTTGGCCCCAAAATAGGCAGCTCACTAGGCCCATGGACTTCGTCCACCACCGCATCCTCGTCGATAGGACCGAGTAGTGGGCTTTCCTCATAATCAGCACCTGAATTGGCCATGACCACATTAGACTGAAGAGGGCGCCTGCCGTTGCCTTCAGTGGCGGTATCAAGGGAGCAATACGTATCTTGGTCATCCAAATTCTCAGTAGCGGTGTTTCGCCCTCTGCCATGAACTTCGCCTTCAGTAACATTGTCCAAGGAGCTATACATTTCTTCGCAATCCACATTTTGCCAAACAGCCATTCTGTCTTGGTCAGAACACTTTGATGCAGGCTTCCTTTCTGGTTGGAGTAAACGGTTGAATCTCTTGGATAGCCCATGGTGTGCTATGTAGAATGCGTGTATATCGTTTTGTGCAACCTGTATAACGACTAGCAAGCTAATATTTCCCAAGATGCTAACCGCCATAGCTGCAATGGCTGATGGTGCTGTTATCTTCCATGTATCAAGTTCTGTAACACAACACACAAGGGAAAAACCTGTTCATCTTAGCACATTAGAAGACTTGGCCTTAAAACATTTACGTGACGGCAAAACCTTTTTTCTCGGCGTAAGCAATAAAATGACATTATTATGTAACTGCACAATTCTCTACTCACCAAAAGAGGATTCCCTTACGATCGTGGTACAAGACGTTCTATTTCAAATGCAAGTCACATTCGCAACGATCAGCCATTCTATTCTTGGCAGTATAGACCGAATGTATTGTCAGTGCTCAACACGTCAGGTCCCAGGCCTAATTCTGTTTGTTTTCCAGTTGTTCTTGTACAATCCCCCCTCCCCCTCTTTTTCGATGCCTATTTTCAACGCTGACGCCGAGACCTCTGGTCGGTTGAGTTGCTCTCAGCACATCGGTACGTCGTCCCTACATCCCCTATGCTGCGTCCTTTTCCTCGTTTCTTTTTCTTCTCCACCTGTTTTCAAGTAGGGCTTTACTAATAGTAAAAAAATGCCCTATGGCTACTTTCTCCATCACTAACAATCGATGATGCCCAACTGTCCCTGCCCCCACATTGCGATTGTAATGTGAATCATCCTACCGTATGCCTAGGTTAGGCTCTCAGCTCTCTACTTCTTTAGGTGCTGCAGTACGTTATTAGCTCACCTTCGATCGTACATGATGATGAAGATACCACTGCCTTACTATTTGCGTCTGCAAAGCCTGCAAACAGTCAATCAGAGGACGTTTTTCAGTCACAATGCGATGCCCGCATCTCCTTTCAAGTAAAAAATGCTTGAAGAATATAAAATTGTTATATTTTCACATACTACTCGGAAATATTATCCTGATTGGAGCAGTGCAGTTGGATGCCTCGACATGGGCAAACATGTATGAACAACATGATTGAAGTGCATTTTCAAGTGCCAAAAACATATTTCGATACGTGTATGGTGGTTTGAGCAACATACTGGAGTGGATGTCACGCTAGATACCAGGTTTGTGAAACATCGCGAAGTACAATGATCAAATGTACCAGGCGTACTCTAAGCGGTGAAGAGTGATCCACTATTACACTGGACTGGAATTGACCCATGCTTACCTTCGAGTGTGAACACAGTGATCACTAAAATCGTGATCTGATACACAGTGGACCTAGGCATCTTCAGCTTTCTTTATGAGAGAAACGTGGTTCAGGTGCGCGTTTGAATTATCTTGAACTGTCCAAACAGATTGGAGACACCAAGTTCAAGCTTCAATAAGTGAATCTCCCCTCTCTATCGGAAGCTTCACTAAGAATATTCTAACAGATGCAGTCGAAGGTACCTCTCTTCACTGGTTTACTTGTGAAGATGTACAATACTAACATCATGAGCTGAGTTTCTTATCCTTTATTTATTCTGCTATCGAGATCACATCTCTCGGCCCTAGATGCCTATTCTTGCAGGCTCTGAGAAATAGCGTTAAAGTCATATGGCGTCAAATGTTAGCATGATACGAGTCGTATCACGCGATAGCGGAAAAGGTGTTCACGTAGGACAGGTGCTGAGACATTCCTAGAAGTGAAAATTGTACAAGTGATGTTTGGAAGTCAAGCGGGAATATCCGGACGTCCGGAAGTCAAGTAGGCCACCAAGCCCATTCATCGCTCAGTGCGAATCTGCCCATAAGAGCTGGGATAGGTACAACGTGAGTGCTGTAGTATACTCTATAAAGATGATCACTTCAGATGTAGGTGGTCTAAGTCAGTGATGGGTAGTGAAAGGCACAGCTTGAGAGATCTTTGCAGTGCAGTATCGGACTAGCCAAAGCATGACTTTATGATATTAAAATAGAGAATGTAAATTCTATCTTTAACAGTCAAGGCAGCAGTCGAGATAAGATTAAAATGCGTCCTTGTGGCATTAAGGAATCGATCCGAAAAGCGGGGTACAGCTGAAACAGCATAAACATACTAGGGTCAAGAACAGAACTTTACAGGAATTTATAAATATTAGTACGAAATATTATCTGGCGTACACAATGTGTTTGTCGCATTGGGAACGGAGTGCCTCAGCACGTTTGTAATCCCGCCCATGGTTTGGCCTGGAGAGTGCTCTATAAGTTCAGGCACTTCAGGAGCAATCTTCCTCAGCCTACCGACGCTGAACGGATAACGCGTTAATCCCCCGAACACAGGGTGTAATGAGCAGTTGGTTATGCATTCTCGAGGGCTTGGAAAGGAACATGTTCGATATACCTGTCATGTGCTAAGTATGGCAGTCATGAGTCACTCATGTGTAAAGTCAAGGCGATTGATAATCGCCAGCTGCGGTTTGGGGCCTACCCAATTTCCCCAAAGAAACAATAATTTCACCAAACCTTAGATTGGGATAGCTAGTTTTTCCTTTAAAGAGGGCACATTGTCAGCCGACATGTAAGGGACATGTAAGGGACATGTAAGGGACATGTAAGGGACATGTAAGGGACATGTAAGGGACATGTAAGGGACATGTAAGGGACATGTGGTATGGACATGTGGTTCTTATGATGCGGCGCTTGTACGTTGATACATCACATTGTTCTCGTAACCTGTCGCGACCATGCATGGAATGCAAACTGGGCATTGTCAAACACAGCTCATACTATCACACACGTATCTGTGCAGGTGGCGTTCTCTGACCAGAACCCACGCGTTGCCAATGTGAATTTCTTTCTCAAAATGGCATCAACAACAAGCGTAAAATGATGTTTTCTTGCATACACATTTGAAGCGGGGGGGGGGGTAGGAAGGGAATAGATATATCAGCAGCGATCGTTCATCTTCTCAGCCACCTGTGTTAGCACGAGTAAAACAGGATCAACGCAAATATGAAGATTTTTTGTCGTGTTCCGGTGACTCACAAAGGGTTAAATTGAAGCACCCACCAGTGCAAGAACACTAAATTCCATGAACAGAAAGGAAAGAGTATTGCATGTATACAATCAGGGGAGCGAACTGAAAGAGGAATCGAAAGGCGTAGCATTTTTACAATACCGTGCATGCGTAAATTTTAAAACCATTTTATGCGGGCTAAAAATATAATCCCATGACCGAAACATGTTATATATAACTAAGAGTAGATAAACAAGAGTGTGCAACTCCGGATCTCTCCTGCACAATCTGCAGATACCCCCACCCACGGCGGAATTTTTTGTTGACGTCACCTTTTTTCAGAGAAACGCGCAGTTTGCCACAGAGCAGTGTGAGAGCACGTGCTGGGCACCGACCAGTCACCTTGTAGTGTAAAGCCCGGCCAAGGGCACGAGGGAAAACTCTCCGAAAGACTCGCAGCGCGTGCGTCGTCGAAAAGATTACGTCAACAAAAAATTCCGCCGTGGGCCTACCCATCCGCGAGTTGCACACTCTTGTTTATCTACTCCTGATATAACCCTTAGAGAGAAGAAAAACGCATCTGAACTCTGACAGCTAAAGCCTACATTTATAAGTAGAAACCAAAATCACACGCATCATGCCTGAATAGCAGGGTGTGGAAGAAATCCAATTTTGCAGTGCATCAATTCAAAGATGGACCAAACGGAAGACCAGGGGAATGAACTGAAAACATGAATGGTGAGAAGGATACTTCAAGTATTTGAATTCTGAAGCTGCAGGATGCCTCGATCATATCAAATTAGTGGAAAAGGGTGATAAAATTCGTCGTCCAAAGGAAGACCAGAGACATTATAAGACGACAACTGCCGTTGAGTTCAAAAGAAACGTTTCACAAAAAAACTTTCCTTGCAAGGGCACATTTTCGGTCATTACGCTTGAACGGCTGGTCAGATCGAGACAACAGTTTCAGAGATTTTGAAGCTATTCATGCTCTTTCAGTTATTTGCTGTTACCACCATTGACATTTAATTTGGCGAGTTTTATTTAATGGGCTTTTTCCTGTACATGCAGGTATGTATGTGCGTGTGTGTGTGTGTGTGTGTGTGCGTGCGTGTGTGTGTGCGTGCGCGACGGTGTGTGTGTGTGTGTGTGTGTGTGTGTGACTGTGTGCATGTGTGTGTGTGTGTGTGTGTGTGTGTGTGTGTGTGTGTGTGTGTGTGTGTGTGTGTGTGTGTGTGTGTGTGTGTGTGTGTGGTCTTCGTGGGTGCGTATTTCATGTTATCCAGTCATCGGCGAGTCTCTTTATTTATAATTATGAGAATGTCAAATAAGGTATGATTATCAAGGGTGAGGGGTATGAGGCAATACATTAGTTTTACACATCACTTGGTTTGAGCTAAGGGTACGTGTAAGTTCGCCGTGGTCTTTATTTCCATCATGCTCATACTCATCTTGATAGCGCTCGTAGTTGGGAAGGTCAAGCATCAGCTCATTTTAACTGGGGCCTACCACAGTCTTTGCACTGGGTCCAATAAGGTCGATGTAGATACATTGAGTTTCTGTGACACAGTTTAAAGCAATCCGGTTGTATTCACTGGTGCTCGCAAGCTTGGGTACCGCAGAGCTGCTTGGATCCATGGATGGCCGTTTTGCAGACCACCCAGAGAAGCATAACTTTTCTGCTGTCCACCCATGTTTTCCGTGTCTCTTACTCGAGAATCATGCCGTAAATCCAATTGGCCGTACGGACTGACGCCGTAAGTGGAATTGCCATCCGTTCCCCGTTCATCAGATTCTACCGCATCTGTACTTATTGGGATGATTTCGATGTAGTCTTCGTTGGCTGAGCTCCCTGGACCCGTATCTGCAACCTCATTGCATAATGTGGCAGAGGCATTCTCTTCCCGTGAAGCACTAGCGTAGAGGAGGTCATCTGAATTCACAGCCGTCTCAGATTGCGTGTATTGGCATATGCCATAGCTTGGATTGTCCCGAAGTGTAATCTCGTTACGGTTGTGAATATCATGGTCATGCAGACCGGTGCCACTCGTCCTGTTTGAAACGACTGTTGATGGCTCGTTTCCGTACACGTCCTCATACACCTTTGAATCCGGCAGGTCTTCATACAACGTGCTACTCGATGCTCTCTCGCTTCCAACCTGCCGCTTTCCTGACTTCGTGCACTTCCCGTCGCGGCAGACAGCATCCCTCAGCCCTAGAGCTGGTCCTGGCAGGATTGCGTTTGTCCCCAAGTGATACAGATTGCTAGGCGCAGGCACACTGTGCACCACCGCGTCATAGCTTGGCTCGTTCGTAGGACCCAGTAGCGAACCTTCCTCATAATCCGCACCTGAATTGGCCATGACCACATTAGACTGAGGAGGGCGTTTGCCGTTGCCTTCAGTGTCGGTATCCAGGGAGCAATACAAATCTTGGTCATCCAAACTCTCAGTAGCGGTGCATTGCCCTTTGTCGTGAACTTCGCCTTCGGTAGCATTGTCCAAAGAGCTATACATTTCTTCGCAATCCACATTGTTACCGATAGCCATTCTTTCTTGGTCAGAACACTTTGCTGCAGGCTTCCTTTCTGGTCGGAGTAGGATGTAGAATGCGTGTACATCGTCATGTGCAACCTGTATAATGACTAGCAAGCTAATATTTCCCAGGATGCTAACCGCCAAAGCTCCAATGGCCGATAGTGCTATTATCTTCCAGGAATAAAGTTCTGTAACACAACACACAAGGAAAAACTTGTTCACCTTTGAGAGCTCATGCCCTACAGAATTCACGTGACGACAATAGCATTTGTCTAATGTTATTCAATTAAAGAACATAATTTATTACACCACAGTTCTTTCTCCTACCACTATAACAGGATTCCCTCAAGCTTTTGGTACAAAGCGTCCAAAAATACAACCCAATGATCAGCCAGTCAATGCTTGGGCAGAAGGGACCAAACACTTTAGGTCTCGTGCCCAGTGCCCTACGGCTACTTTCTCCATCACTAAACATCCATGATGCCCAACTCTCCATGTCCTCACTTAATAATTATCATGTTATTCATCCTACGATGTGCATATGTCAGGCGCTCAGGGGACATCTCTCTATTTAAATACTTCGACAAGTTATCAAGTCGTACCTTCGGTTGTACAGGATGCCGACGATGCCACTGTCACAATATTGGCGTCTGCAAAGCCTGCAAAACATTCAATCAGAGGACTTTGTTAATCACAAAGCGATGACCTTTTCTCATTCCAGATATAAATTTAATATATAAAGCTGTGTTATTTTCACATACTATACGGACATTTAGTGGGTTAAGGCCAGAACAGAATTTCTAAGCAATCGTGACGGCAAAAGCGAAGGGGTGGACAAAACCATCTTATCCTGATTTCGCCAGTACACCTGGATGCCTGGACACAGCCAAGCACGTAAACATCTCGTCACAAGAGTACATTTCCATTTGCAAAACAATTGCGAGACGATCATTGTTTTTTGGGCATTGTAGTGGATGTCAATCAGGGGAAAACTGGGATGATAACACATACTTCTCTGACATTTAGTTGAATAACTCGACAATTTTCAAAAACGCTTGCACGCAGTAGGGAAATACATTTTCTAAAGAGGTAGACTAGGCCATCTTATGCCGACTACTGCAGTACAGCTGGATGGCTGGATGGACAGTCGAAAACGTTAACATCCCATCACTGAAATGAATTTTCAATTGTAAAAGCATGCAACCCATTCATTGTCTTTTTGGTCACCTTAGCGGATGTCACGCTAGATATCAGGTTTGTGAAACAACACCAAGTGCAAGGGGTAAATGTACCACAAGCAATATGAGCTCTCAAGAGTCACCCACCTTTACACTTGACAGGAATTGACTCGTGCTTACCTCCGATCGTGAACACACTGATCATAAAGATCGTCACCTGGAGCGCAGTGGATCGAAGCATCTTCCTAGATGGATGGGAATAGGTTTCGTAAACAGAGAACTGTTGCTCAAGAATGAGTCAGAATAATCTGGAACTCCTTAAACTGACCCCAGATGCCGAGTTCAAGCTTCCATAAATGTACGTCCGCTCTCTATTGGAAGCATCATAAAGAGGATTCGAACAGATGCAGTATGAGGTACTTCTCTTCACGAACTTGTGCGTGTGAAGAGTGAGAATACTAACGTAGTGGGCTCATGTTTTGACCTTGACTTCTATGCTATCGAGATCTTGTCCCCTGGCCTTGATGACAGTTCATTTTTGGAGCTGACATGTAACGTGATGTCCGTAGGCGGCAAGTGATAGCATGATACTAGACACATCACGCGACAGCAATGTTTGGAAGTCAAGAAGGCCACGAAGCCGAAACGTGGCTTAGTGGCAATGTGCATAATATGAGGTGTGATAGGTACAGCACGAGTGCTGCTACTGCACTCTAAAGATAATCCTTTGAGCGGTAGGTGGTCTAAGTCAGTGAAGGTTGGTGAAAAGCCAGAGTGTGAGAGATACTTGCAAGACCGTGCTAGCCAAATCCTATCTTTATGATCAGGAAATGGAGAATGTAAACGCTGTCATCAGCAGTCAAGGCAACAGTCAAGATAAAATTCAAACTTGGTTTTGTGGCATTCACCAGGAATCAATATTCTCTGGTGTTGACGAGGTGCTTGTCGCGTTGTAAAAGGAGTGTCTCTGAAGTTTGCATCCCTGTTGTAGTTCGGCCTCGAGAGCCCCATAATAAGTGGTGCCCTTCAGGCACGATCTTCATCTGCATACTGAAGCGCAACTACAGATGGATGAATTAACAAATACGTGTATCTTGAATTGATTAGGTAGTGGTGCATTCTTTACCAATAAGGTGAAGGTGCTCAGGATGGCAGTCGTGAGTCAGTCAAGTGTCATGTACAGTCGGCGGATAGGCGCGAGCTCCTGTGTTGGCACAACCAACTTTCCTAGAGAAACGAGTACTACAAACCTAGGACTAGCTTTCTGCTCTCACCGTATACTTCCCAAAGCTAGATCCCTTACTGAACTTTTAAAACAATACACAGACGTATTTTCTATTGTCCGCGGCGTTATGGCAGTCAATTTAGTATTTGAGCCTAGACGTTGCGCTGCTGAGGGCTCACTGACAGCCGACATTACGAGACATGTACAGGGCATTTGACAGTCATCAATTCCAAGTCCGGTGGTTGCACATTGATGGATCGCACTGTTGGTATCACTGGCATCATCGTGTCCCGTCGAATGTCAACTGGACAATGTCAAAGCCAACTCATGCGATCTTGCACATATCTGCAGCACGTGTCTTTTTCTGGCTAGACCCCACACGTTGGCAGTGTGACTTTCCTTTGAAAAATCGCATCAAGCAGAATCATACAAACATGTACCTTTGCGGGTGAATGAATTATAAATAAAAGGGGATTTGTCAACTGACAACCGCTCTACTTAGTTGCTATTCACTCTTTAGAAGAAAAAAATTCATCTAAAATTTTCATCTAAAGAGTGAATAGGAACTAAATAGAGTGGTTGTCAGTTGACAAACCCCCTTATATTTACAATGCATTTGCGCGCTGTCCACAACATTCTGAACGAATGAATTATAGGTCCAGTAAATGGGATTTGGGGTCTTTGACCGCTTTGGTAGGTCTGATCTACTTCTCCCGCCCCCCCCCCCCTCACACATACACACACAAACACACACAGACACACACACACACACACACACACACACACACACACACACACACACACACACACACAATGGAGTTCCTGCCGATGCGGAAACCTCTCCCTCCAGCCCATTCTCATGCGAACTGTGAAAGATATGGGGGGGGGGGAAGGCAGCCAACAATGTCATTATGCCAGTAAACAAAATGTCACTAATGCAAAGGAAAGGTAACTGTAAAGACAGGGTGGGTTAACGGACGAGAAGAATCGAAAAAATTAATCTTGATGATACGGGTGCATGAATACCTTTCACATAAAAGATAAAGAGAATGCGCCAGAAAAGAACTCTCTTTTGGAGTTAAAGAGTGGAATAAATGCATCTATTGGCACCACCAGCGGCCTATTATTATTTTATCAATTTGGCGCACAGTTTTGATATTGATCACTTGACAAACGTCTAATCGACGAAACAGCATGCTGCCCAGATTGAGTAATTTGGGGGATATATTTGTGTGACGTCAGTGCGTAGGTTATCATACTGTAAAACCGGAAAGTCTAACGTTTTAACGACCAATATTTATTCGCTATTTGAAGAAACGTTATGCCGAACCCAGTCCGTGAAAATGCGCATACATCGATGCATATTCTTGGTGGCCAGTTAGCCATCGTTCAATTTTCTGCACGTTATCATGCCAAAATTACAAAAAACGTTAAACATTTTGATCGTTAGACTGTCCGATTTTACAGTAGTTGTAGGTAGTAATCTGAGGAGTTTGAGCCCCTCTCAGCCCTCTCAGCCCTCTCAGCCCTCTCAGCCCTCTCAGCCCTCTCAGCCCTCTCAGGCAATGCAGCAGTGGCGTACTTTGCACTGACTGAGCTACCGGTTGGTATGAGTTCGCCATGGTCTCTATTTCCACCGTTTTCGTACCCATCTTCACATCGCTCGTAATCACCAACATCCACCTTCAGGTCTTTGCAACTGGCGCCTTTCGCAATCGGCGGACTTGGTCCAATGAGCTCAAAGTAGCTTGGGCTGGTAGCTGTTGCGGCACAGTTTCCAACAGCGCTGTCTCCCTTAGCAATGTTCCCAGCCTGTGGCACCGCAGAGCAACTTAGACGCATGGCTGCGCTCTCTTGCAAGGCGGCTACTACATGACGATCACTTTCCTGCTGAGCATTCAATACCTGTGCGTTTCCATCCGAAGATTGCTTAGGCAGGTGGGATTCCGCGATCTGACTCACTACATAACACAGATTGACATCCCTTCTGATTTCACTAGCTGGAAGTATATCAGAATTGCATTCATCGACATCGATGTAGTCGCTGTTGGCAGCTGCTGTGTCCGACTGTACTTTCATCACATTTACCGTAGGGAAACTCCCAGACCGAGGTAAGGCAGCGCTGCTCGAACTCATTCCTGTACGCTCTCGGAAGCCGACAATGGTAACACGTCCTTCTTGTTGACCGCTTGCATGCTCTGTGTCTCTAGACCCGGCACCCCTATCCTGCTCATTCGCGTCACCCAGCACAGCGCATTCCTCATAATCAACATCTGATTTCGTTGTGACAAAGTCACACTGACGAGAGCACTTGGCGTTGCCTTGAATGGTGGCATCCACGGAGCAATAAAGTTCTTTTGCTGTTCGTGTTCGTTCTCGCTGATTTGCTTTGCCAACAGGATCAGTGTCGACAGAGCAATAAATGTCTTCACCATCCAAAGTCTCGTCAACAGGTTTTCTTCTCTGGCCTTCAAGGGTGCGTAGACGATTGAAGCTCTTGAACAGTCTCCGATGCGCTATGTGATGTTCACATGCTTGACTCTGTGCCATGTGCAGTAATCCCAGCAAGAAAACATTGCCGACGATGCTAACCGTCGCCACGACAATAGTCGAGAAGGCTATCCATCTCCACCGTTTAAGATCTGTAACAGAGAACACGATACAATACCATTCTATTGTGGGGTAAGAAAGCACACTTCCCTATTTGACAGAACGACACTGGTCACGTTGTTCCATTCGATATGCCTTGCTCCAAAACTCACTCAACAAGAAAATGCTTTCGGACGTGCGAATTGCAGTAGGATGCATTCATAAAGTGATAGAGTTTCTTGACTCACCTCCCCCTCCCCCCCCCCCCCCCAAATAGGGTCCGGCGGATTCTGCCGGCAGAAAACTTGGCAGAATTCGGTACTTTTCCTGGTAGGTTTCATGCATGTTTGGTATGTGGATAAAGAAATGGAGCAGAATTCGAGGAATTGCGCGCCATAAGGTTTGTATGGTTCTGCCAATTTCACTGCTCTTCGAGCAGAATCTGCCACCTTTTCGAGCAGAATCCGCTGGTCCCTACCCCCAAAAAAAGACAAGTTGCACAACACTAACAATTATAAACATGGTTCCTATAATACAAGTATTATACCGGTATGTCACTATGGCCTACTTGGGTTACAGGTATATATTTAAAAGTAGTTCGAAATGTCACAAATTCAAAGACACGTCATCAGGCCTTACCCTCGACTTCACAGGATGATGAAGATAGCGCTGTCAAGCCATTTCCCACTGCAAAGCCTGCAAAAAATCAACCAGAGCAAGATCCTCAATCAACCAGTATAAGAGTTCGAAACTGGGCCTGGAGAAATGGGCTATGAAGTTCATGTGGTGTTGGATATGTGAATTCACCCCCCCCCCCCTCCCCCCTCCAGAGGAGGTAATATACCTGGAGTAATACGCCCTGACTACGGAATGATCCATTCGTGTGCTCGAGTAGAAACACCCAGTACCTACTTTGCTTCATCTCCCCGTTGAACACGCATAAGATAGCCAGGAAGCTGAAGGAAAAATTCAACTTGCAAATCTGTTTTTTCTCCATGTAATACAGCTCAGGAATCCAAGAACGTACAAGTATTTTCAGTATATTGTTCTATCCAAACTGTAACGTCGGCACACAAAACTCAAGTCTGCTTCACAACGAAAAGTTTGGAAAAGAAGTGCAGTAAGGATCTCCAAAAGTACGGTCTTGCTCTTCATGGGCTTCGCTTTTTGGAGCGAGACAAGCCCGAGGATTACCTACTGATGTGTTCGGCTCCATATATCTTGCGGCCTCTACAGACTGGAGATGGCGGTCAACTCCAACGGCACTTTTATTGCCCGATCCTGCATAGTGAATACCTGTGTGTCAGACTTCATCGGACTAATTGACGTGTACTAGCCAAGTCCCTGCTGTAGTAAATGTACTACGTACAAGCGCTCTACGCCACATCCGAACAGACAACAGCAGCTGCTTCTACCTCACTTCCTGTTCGCGCCCGATGCCTATTGTTATTGTTTGTAGTGTTTGTAGCAATAAATGGCTTCACCCAGTTCAACCAACCGCAAACTAAACCCTGAGGAGACTGGACATACTGTAAAAGCAGAAATTTTTGGTGGTGTTTTATTTTCGGTAACTTCGGTGCCGACAATTTTTACCGAAAATAAAACGCACCGAAAATTTCGGTACAACCGGTACTGTATACGTGCAGTACTAGTACACTTACCTGGAAAACGGGTTTTACCGAAAATTTCCCTCTACCGAACCGCCGATTTTGGGGAATACCGAAAATATTACACCACCGAAAATTTCTGCTTTTACAGTATGCTTCAACCTGAAGTAGCACCAGTTAGCCGTCTGATGGACAGACTTTTCTTCTTTTCCTTTTTTTCTTTCTTTTTTTACTTGAAACCACGCACCCAGTTCGTAAAACAAGAAAAAAGGAGGAAATGACAAAACAACAACTATACAGCTGCGCATCCAACTCAATACCATGTGTCATGGACAAGAGCGGTAGGAGTGCAAGCTGTGACACCGTATCCTGTAAGGCGCCTCTAGAAAACGTCCACGATCGCAACTGGAACACAGGTGGTAGACCTATACCAGCAGATGGGCACAGTTCTAAATGACTCACCCAGATACATTGTCCCAGTGTTGCCAGTTCCCATGGAACATTACTCTTGCTGTTATTGAGGTCAAGAATGGTTTAATTTCACCATAATGCCTAACACAATCACAGCGCAGCTCATGCAGTCCTTAGAAGAGAACTACTACAATAGGATGGTAGGCTAGTATCAGTCTAATAATAACCTACAAACCACTTTCTTATTTTTGATGCCTTTTATTTCCATTACACTACCATGCTCATCTTTCAGATCTGTGTTTTCCTAGCTGCGCAAAGCTAGTATTGCGGATGTGTTTTTACATGAAACACAACCCAAGGGAAGGAAAACGGAAAAGAGAAAAGAAGCAGGAACGCTCTAGGAGCAGGCCAATCTCAGCCGACGTACCGTCTCGGCTTCAGAGCCCGAACCTGCGCACTGTAGAAATAAGGGGAGAGAGAGCGCAATAGAGAAGAAGACGAACAAGATATACACAGAGAAAGGTCAAAATAATGACAGAGAAACATAAACAAAATACACTGTATACATCTACAATACAAAGGGGGATCTACAGTCCATTCATCGGAAACTGGCCCGCTGGCTTTTGAAAGTCGGATTTGGGCCGAATTGAGGATCAAAAACCCACTTTAAATCTCAAAATCTGGGTTTTGGATCTGCTTCTCCATACATTTTGCCATGGCATACCTGTCCTAATTTTGTAAAACCTGGCTGAATTTCTATTTCCCTGTTCGTGGACTTTTCTAGCCTCAAATGTGGCAAGGAGTAATTGCACGGGTCACACAATGCAGGATGTACTGTTGTTTTCACGATATCTACAACTATGTGAGAGAGACACCAAAAAGTTAGGGTGCCAGTTTCCAATGAATGGACTGTAGTAGGATGACAATAGTGTAGTAAGAGAAGATAGGGGGGGGGGGAAATAGTGGAATATAGTACTGGAGAGCTGCCAGAATGAAAATGGGAGAGCAAACGAGAAGCATGCGAGGATTAGGTCAGTAGTGGTTTGCGAGATGCAAAGGGTCTAAACAATACTTATAGTACTTCGAAGTATGACAAATGAGTAAATTATGGGGAATTGACGACAACGTGCTCGATGCACAAAGTGAAGAACAGAAGAGAATACGAGGCATGTGGCCTCTAATTTCCAAAGAGGCAGTTAGGCAGTTAGCAGGTTAAGTTAATTGCAAGTAGTCATTGGAAGAGTGCGAGCCCGCCTCGGGCGATGTAACATTGGCATACTTCGCACTGATTGATCTACCAGTACATGTGAGTTCGCCATGATCTCTATCTCCAGCGCTTTCGTACCCATCTTCATAGAGCTCGTAATCACTAACGTCAATGTCTTTGCATCTGGCACCTTGCAGAATGGGTGGACTTGATCCAATGATCTCAATGTAGCTTGCGTTGGTAGCTGCTGCGGCAGAGTGTTCAACAGGGCAGTCTCCCGTAGCTATGTTCCCAGCCTGTGGCATCCAAGAGCTGTTTGGACTCATGATTTCATGCTCTGGCCAGTAATCTCCTACATGACGATGGCTTTCCTGCTCAGCATTCAATTGTTGTTCATTCCCTGCATGAGACTCTTTAGGCAGGTGTCTCTGTCTCTCTCTGTCTCTCTCTCTCTCTCTCTTTCTCTCCCTCTATCTCTTTCTCTGCTATTGGCGCGCCTGGTTGTGATGAAGCCGAGACCCAAGGTCGGCAGAGCATCCCAGACCACGCCACCACTCCCCTTATTCATGGCTCACACATGACGGGTTTACGTGGCTCTAGTAAAAAGAAAAGAAAAAAAAGGTCGAATTGCGTGAACAGGCTCACTCCATAACCAGGATTGACATCCATTCTAATTATACCAGTTTGTACCATATCAGTTTCGGAGCCATTGACATTGATGTAGTTTGTACTGTTAGATGCTGAATCAGAGTGCACCTTCCTCAGATTTCCTGCAAGTAGAGAGAGAGAGTGGTAGCGCTGCTTGTACCCATTCCTTTGCGCTTTTGGAACCCGACTACGGCAGCGCTTCCTTCCTGCTGACCACTCGCATGCTGTGTGTCTCGTGCATGAGAATCCAGGGGAAGGTCGGATCGCGGGAATTGGGCCACACCGTAGCTTGGATTAGCCTGCAGCGTGACATCGGCATGCCGGTGCATGTCTTCGTACGGGAAGGAACCATTGCTTGTCTGGGATCCGAGCTCTCCCTGTGTGTTTATGCCTTGGTACGTGATATCCTGACCGCTAATCTGGCGATCATTACCAGATGTAGTGTGAATGGCAGTCTTCGACTGGTCTTGTTGAGTCTCCAATCGCGCACACGACTTTGCCGATTGCATCGTTTTTCCATGAACATTCTCGTACATGATTGAATCAGAGAGGCCTTCGTATACTGTGCTGCTGCCTGATGACCTCGCACTACCAGCCTGTCTCCTTCCTGAGTTCACAGGCTTACCATGTGTTCGGACGAAATCTTCTGGCCGTCCGGACGCTCCGCGAAAGTGTGAGCTAGATCTATGAAGCGACACCTCGCTTGGTTTGTGGCCCATTGCAGCCGCAATCTCTCCCTTCTCATCCTTGCTTTGCTCATTCACTGCATCCAGTACAGCGCTTTCCTCGTATTCAACATCTGATTTCGGAGTGACCAAGACTGAGGAGCGGACTTTGCGTTGCCTTGAATGATAGCAATATAATTCTTGGTAATCCAAGTTTTCTGCATCGGCTGTTCGTCGTCGCTCCTTAGGTATGCCAACGGAATCAGCGTCCACAGAGCAATACATGTCTTCACTATCCAAGTACTCGCCAACAGCCTTTCTTTCCTGATCAGTACACTCTGGTTCATGCTCTCCTTCAAGTGTGTGTAGACGGCTGAAGGTCTTGAACAGTCTTCGATGCGCCCTGTCATGTTCATATGCGTGACTGTGTCCTATGTGCAGTAATCTCAGCAGGAAATCATTGCCGACGATGCTAACAGCCGCCACGGCAATATTCGAGAAGGCTATCTGCTTCCACAGTTCCAGATCTGTAGCAGATAACAGGATAGAATATCATTCATTCCATTGTCGCGGAAGGAATCTCTATTTCACAGAACGACACTGGTCACGCTGCTCCATCGGATATGCCTTGCGTCGAACGTCTCTCTACTAGCTAAGGCTTTTGCAGTTGCGTATTAAAAAGGCTGCTCATTTAAACGTTGCACAACGCTTCCAGTTTATGTAACATATCGGCACATATTTGAGCCACTATGATGCTGGTCTAAAGATGTTCTCAATTTCACAAGTACAAACAACAGTTAGTAGATCTCACCGGCTGAACATTGTGATGACGATAACACTTCCGGGGTATCTCCAGTGGCAAAGCCTGCAGAACATTAAAACAGAGCCGTATTGTCCGTCAAAAAAAGTAATCCAGTTTGAAACTTCCAGGGAAACGGGCTAAGTGATGACGATTTTTGGGTCATTTCCCGCTGTATACTTGAAGGACATGTACGTGCAAGCAACGAGACACCCCGGGGGTCACATGCACCTGGATGAATAATGCTTCTGGCCGGAGCGATCCACCAGTGTACTGGACCTACCTTGGTGCATCACTGTGAGGAACACGAATAATATAGCCTGGAAGGTGATGGGACCATTCATCTTGAAAGTAACCTGAACACCGTGCACTACATCTGAGGAATTCAAGAACTCATTTTACGGTACATGTACATGTATATCGTACTGTGGGCTTCACTGACTGCAGCTGGCACTTTTATATAGCAATCCTGCACAGCCAATAACTGTACGTCAAACTTGTCCAGCAACGCTTACAGCTCCATTCGGCCATTGCTGCACTGAACGTATCCTACAAACATCGAGTTATGGGCTGCGTTCGTACCGATAACCGCAACTCTGCTATGCTGCGCTACTTCACTCCCTGTACGGTCTCAACTTCTAATCATTCACATTAATATTTTCCATGCAATTAATCAAACCCAAACAGACCCCGAGCAGATCGGACTCACGCGCCAGCCAGCCCATACCATGGAGCTACACACCCAACTCCCTAAGTCGTGGGTCCTGTAGTAGAGCGGTATTACTGCAAGCTGCCAACGGCACTGCTAGAAAACATCCATACCCACTACTGGTACACAGGTGGTAACACTGTACTAGCAGATGGCAGGACACGTGTTATACGCCTCTCACAGATAAATATCACCAGTTTTCCGGTTTCCACGGCACTCAAGAACGCCTTCGCTCGCCATAATTATCGAGTATAACAATGAGAGTGCAGTTCAGACAGCTGGTGAAAGAGAATTTACTTGGCTAATATCAGCCTAGCCATCCTCTACAGAAGTAACTGAACTTGCTTGTGGCGCTAAATTTGTTTATGCTTGTGGCCCTACCTATGTGTTTATAAGCGTACTGCTGGGTAAACGTCCAGCATCAGTTGTCTGATGATTGCCTAGCGTCATGAAACTCAGAGTTACAACCAACCTGAACGTCCTAGGCTGAGTCTGCTATGTACTAAGCTCTGTTTTTGACATTGAGCACTCTCTGCAGCTCGGTGATCAACGGATTCGAACCTCCTTGTCATTTATTGATGATGACTCCTTTACTTCATTGCTCTATCAGGTCCATCAATCCATTCTTGCGGTGATATTGGTTCGAGAAATATCTTTGATTAACCATAGCAACAATGTGCCGTGTACTGCTAGCTGAATTGTGGGTGGCTAGTAGTCGGTTTTTATAACCGGCGCCTTCGATATATTTTCTTCCTTTCCTTCGCTATTAATATTTCCCTCGTTTGCATGTATAATACCATGTGAACGATGATTGTACTATGTACTTCAAATAGCCATATCGATAGGAAGCCTGCAAGAATGTTCAGATATTAATCGGAAGCCATGAGACCTCCAATTTCTTACCCAGATGCCGAGCTGCACGGGAAGATTCACTACGCCGTGCGAGGTCTTTCATCACAATATAACCAGTTGTTTGTTTCCAAAATTGTGTGTTGCTTTTATCGCCGAATGCGTGCCAACCTCTTCTTCACATGTTTGTTTGCATACATTTAGAATTTGTTAAGATCACTTTTGTACATTACAAGTATATGTATGTATTTTGCATGCACCTGAATCGACAGACTTTGCTCGATGACCTTCGGAGGCATAATGTGTAAACGATATGACCGACAGAGAAGAGAGCTATCCCTTTTCACCTGTGCGTGTGGATAATCCGTAATGTCCGTCATACATCCTTCCTGATATCACATGCCGGTTGATGGATATTGATTGAATTTTCCGCCACGTTCCCTCAGGGACGCCAGAACCACACAAGCAAAACTCTGCGATTGGTTGTCATGGCTCAAGCGTTTCGGGATCTTCCGACATCGTACATGCTGGGTGGTTCACCATCTAGTTCACTGTCATCTCCAATTGTAGGGCAAGGACAGATTTGAACTAACGGCATTTCCAAAGGAATTATTGTGAGTATGGCATTGGTTCTGAAAAATATGCGTTAGAAAAGGATGTAAAATGCATTTTTTCTGAAATTCAACACAGGCTACAGCGTTAAGTAATCCAAGACATAAACAGTGATATTTTCGTTATCAAGGGTGGAAATATGTTGCATAAATGGATAATATTCTTCGAAGCACATACGCCCATGTTGTCTACAATCCTGTCCAAAACTATTGTACAAGCCTAAACTGAAGAGAGAGAGAGAGAGGGGAGGGCTGGGTTGTAACTCCTAGTTTCATGTATTTACGATCATCAGGCAACTGATGGCTCCAAAACAGGCAGCCTCAACATAAGAGAAAGCAAGGTGATAGGTACTGAGAAGAGCCATAGCGTACGAGTCAGGTACAGGTATAAACCTAAAACGATGGGCCCAAAGTGTATCATGGCTGACAAGGAATGATAAACTAACGCTGACCGTTAAGGCACCGTTCACCGAATTTCAAATCATAACACACAATGGGGTGTGATGGTACAATTGCATGTACGTACACTGTGCGGGTCTGGTTTTTTTCATGTGTGTGCGCGTCCGTAGGTGTGTGTGTGTGTGTGTGTATGTGTGTGTGTGTGTGTGTGTGTGTGTATATATATGTGTGTGTGTGTGTGTGTGTGTGTGTGTGTGTGTATGTGTGTGTGTGTGTGTGAGTGTGTGTGTGTGTGTGTGTGTGTGTGTGTGTGTGTGTGTGTGTGTGTGTGTGTGTGTGTGTGTGTGTGTGTGTGTGTGTGTGTGTGTGTGTGTGTGTGTGTGTGTGTGTGTGTGTGTGTGTGTGTGTGTGTGTGCATGGGTGGGTCTTCATGGATATCGGTATGGAAAATTATGCACTTTGCAGTACTAGTACGTTTCGTGCTGCAAGAGCATTTTACAAACGTGGTTGCTAGCCTATGACAATTGCAGGTAAATACCGGAAGAGTGTGAGTGTGTATCAGACACGGAGGCTGTGGATTCTGGTGAAGGAATGCTACGTCTGCGTTGACTGTCATCTTCATCTGAAGCGGGGAACAGCCACTCCAGTGGCTGATAGTACTCATCGGATTTTCGCCTCTCCGTTTCATTTTTGCGCGCAGTACCTTTCAAAGGGTTTCTTCCTGTTACAGTACGCTGAGCGGTGTCAACCTCTGCATTGGTAATTATGTTCCTGGCGATTCAGATCTGATGCGTACAGTGTTCTGTTGAGTATCAGGGCCTGCAGCCATACGATCTGGAAGTGGTCCCACTACCTCCGAACGCACAGGTGCTTCGAGATTACTGCCTGTGGATTCCTCAAGCTTCATAACGGTTGGTGTTAGCGGGACATAGTACGCTTCAGCTTGCGTGGTATCAGCAGTTGTGTACGGAGAGACGTCACTGCTTGATTTGTCCACAGACACATCTCGGTCGGGGAATGATCCAACTTGCTCCGAGCGCAGGGAAGATGCTGCGAGGTTACTACCGGTAGTTTCCTTTGTTTTGATCGCGTTTGTAGTTGGAGGCGAATCGTACGCATCCGCTTCTGTAGTGTCAGCAGTTGTGTAGGGATTGATATCACTGCATGTGTTCCCCACAGGCATGCCGTGGTCGGACAATGATCCAACTTGTTCTGAACGCAGAGAAGATGCGTCGAGTTTACGGCCGGTAAATTCGCCTGGTATCATCCCGCTTTTTGTCAACAGGGTGTAGTATGCATCAGCTGCAGTAGTGTCAGCAGTTGTGTATGGAGTGAGGTCGCTGGGCGTGTTGTCTATGAGTACATCTCGGTCGCGGAATGGTCCCACTTGCTCCGAACGCACAGATGTTGCTTCGAAGTTGCTGCCGGTGGATTCGTCTGCGTAAATTCCGCTTGTTGCTAGTAGCGCGTAGGTCGCAGCATCTTGGTTGTTATCAGCATTTGTGTATGGGGAGAAGTCACTACTTCCTTCGTCCACAGGCACGTCGCGTTCGGAGAATTGTCCAACTGGCTCCGAGCGATCATCAGATGCCGCGAGATTACCGTCAGTGGAGTCCCCTACTTCCTTCACGCTTGGCGTCAGTGGGGCATAGTGCGAACTAGCCTGGGTGGTATCAGCAGTTGTGTAAGGAGTGATCACACTGCATGCTTTGTCCATGAGCCCATCCGGTAGTCCAATTTTGTCTGTACGCTTAGAAGATACTGGCTGGCTACTACTGGCTCCGTTCTCTGGTCTCATCGCGCTTTCTGTAAGTGGGGCATAGCACACATCAGCCTGGCTGGTCTCGGCAGTCGTGTATGGAGTGATGTTGCTGCTTGTGTTGCTCACCAGCATATCACTCATTTCAATGTATCCGTGCTGTCTATCGCGCCTTGTTGGCCCCGTCAGAACTTCGTATATGCTGCTGCTCGTTGGTCTGCGTGCTCCGTCCTGATTACTGAGTGAGCTAATTGCCCTCTGAAGCACCTTGGCAGAACGGCCATATCTTAAACGTGCCCCGCTGATTCTTGAACCGCGCCGTGAGGAGGACAAATCAACCGACTCATATAAAGTTCTCGTATCCTCATCATCATTATCTTCATCTCCAATTGTGGAGTTATCCACTTCCATTTGCTGTCGCGAGCGGCTTTTGGTGCTTTTGTCTGATGGGTTGTCGAGCGAACAATACACGGTTTGAAAATCTGAGTCTTCCTCGTCTTCCCGGATTCCCTCCAAATGAGTTGGTGATGTCTTTGGTTGCTGTATAATTTCTCCAAGCAACCGGTCAAACTTCCTACGTTCGACTTGGGCGAGGTGCAGCTTATGCAGCACAGCGAGATTCCCCAATATACTGACAACTGCGATACAGGTGACCGAGATGGCCATTGTCCTCCACCGCTGTAGCTCTGAAAGAGAATAGATCACGAACACGCAAAGGGTATACTTGGTGTACAAACTCTACTTCTACCCTGAGCTCAGCGCCTTTTCCGAAGAAGTGGAAAAACTTATTACATATACAGCAAGATGCAGACATTCATTCTCACATTAATTATTATGTTGGACTTATAGATTACAGTATGTTGGACTTATAAACAATGGCATAATCATCGTTTGCGTGCCGAATGTATTATAATTATAAGGTTTTGCGTTCAAATTCCCCTTTGCATCTTGCAAGTATGTTTTCATTTGTTTTCAAAGACGTTATACAAGAATATTACCTTCTATGCTGCATGAAGATGAAGTCTTCGCCAGAACACCGGTCCCATCTGCCGAGACTACAGAAAAGCACAACGAAATGAGTGATTTTAATTTCTACCGCCCACAGCCTGAGCCTGTGACTTGCATAAATCTTTTCGTGTTTGAAAAAGCAGACCTGCAGTCTGATTCTTTCTTATTCACATAAGGGAGTCAGACATACGGTTAAACTCACCTCCACAAGAGGTGACGAAACACGCAAGGCACACAGCCCACACCTCGATCGACTTAGATTCATGGCGAACAGAACAGGAAGGTCTACGACGTTTGAGCATAGTTCCGACCCGTCCGATCCTCTCTGACTGACTTGCTCCTCATGCCACACAAGACCGCCAAAGCTCGGGATCGTGGAGTAAACTAGATTTGAAGACGGGAAGAAGACAATCGACGCGGGACAGCTTTCAACTCAATATTCTGCGCTATTTTTTTTAATTGAAGTTGTTTATGAAGCAACAATAGGTCACAGAGTCGGCTGATTAATGTTGTATTATATTATCTGTGGACAGGCAATCTCTGCATAAATCCGATCACAACAGCTGCTTGATTATTAAGGTAGCCGCGTGGAATTTGAAAGTCCTGGTAACCTCGCTTGTGCAGGTAACCTCGCTTGTGCAGGTAACCTCGCTTGTGATTGTGCAAAACGGGAAATGCCGGTAAGAATGTTACTAGCTTCCTATTTCGGCCTCCGAATGGGAATTGATTCCAGGCTTTGCGGATGCTAAAGTGCCCTTATTGGCAGATACGTAGGGTCAAGAATGACATTCTTATTTACTGTCCAATTCCCATCATCCGCCAATTTCCATGTCCATTACAATCCCGAGAGCACAGCTGGAAAGAACTTGTACACCGATCAATAGCCAATAACACCCGCTCTTGTTCCTGTGAAACGCAACCTAGATCAATCGTTATGCAATCTACCATACCCGGGAGCAAATGTCAAAGGGATACCCATTGTTGTTGTTTTTTGAATTTTAATTAAAATAGAAAAATAAAACATTGGCACGTAAATCTAAAATGCTAAGTTTTTTTCCAATATTACCACACAGTCATACTCGTTCCACTCCCCCTGGGTCTATGCTTATACTTATGCGCAAATTGCATTCTCCGCTGCTCAAGTCCTTGGGAGAGAGCTTCATTCAGCCCGCCGCAAAGTGCGCGAGATGATCGAAAATCCTTTATATCGTGTCAATACAACTACTGGAGGTATTAATTAAAGAACAATTATTATCGACTTATGCATGCTTCTATTTGTATATCAATATCGATGTTACTCGATCATCAGACAGAGAACTGTTTTGATCTTGGTGGATCTATTCAGCGGAACTTCGAGCTACTTCGAGTACTGGTCGAACCGATCGCAATATATTCTAATGAATTCTGATTAAACACACGGCGAGGAGACAATAATTTGATAACCGCAATCAATCGGTTCAGCTAGTTTTATTGATTGCGGTTATCGAATTCTGATTATTTATTATTATGTAATGACCCAGAGGCAATGTGGCTATCGAGGAGTTCATTTGATTGAAATAACAGTACTACTACTAGGAGAAAAGTGTATTGCTCCCTTCATGGGAGCTCGTGGTCCCTACTATCGCCGAAGTCGCACCAACCTCTTCTTCAGTATGTACAAAGACAAGTAGGGCATGAGGTGATGAACGACAAAGGATATTTCCAGCTCAAAGCATCAAAGTTAGGCTTCTTTACTTGCAACAAAACATAGCGAGCCTTGCACCAGGGCACATACCGAGAATGGATCAATATCGATGTATGTGAACGTGTCCCACATTCTTTGGTTGGAGATTGGTGACAAACACGAGAAGTGTGAACCTATAAACAGCTTTGCAGCAGCTTTGCACATTTACCCCCTGGTTCATTGGCGCATGGGTTTCAGTTTCTCTCTTCCGTATTGCGTTAAAATCCACAAGTTTTCAACTTGAAGCGGGGACATCTCTTATAAGGGGACCACTCTGATAGGGCTAAGGGTACCACTCTGGTAAGGGGATCACTCTGATAGGGGCGGGGGGCACTCTGATAGGGGGACAACTCTGATAAGGGGACCACTCGGATAGGGGAGGGGGGCACTCTGATAGGGGGACCACTCTGATAAGGGGACCACTCTGACAGGGGAAATCGGATAGGGGGCCACTCTGATAGGGGGACCACTCTGATAAGGGGACCACTCTGATAAGGGACCACGTTGATAAGGGAACATCTCTTATAAGGGGACCACTCTGATAGGGGGGATCACTGTGGGAATAGGACCACTCTGATACGGGGACCTCTCTTATTAATTAAGGGGACCACTCGGAGAGGGGACCACTCTGACACAGTGACCTCTCTTATAAGGGGACCACTCTGATAGGGGGCCATACTGATAAGGGGACCACACTGACCAGGGGGACCACTCTGATAGGGAGGCCCCTATGATAAGGGGACCACTCTGATAGGGGACCACTCTGATAGGGAGACCACTCTGATAAGGTGACATCTCTTGTAAGGGGACCACTCTGATAAGGGCACCACTCTGATAAGGGGACATCTCTGATAGGGAGGGGGGCACTCTGATAGGGGAATATCTCTTTTAAGGGGACCACTCTGATAGGGGGGGGGGCACTCTGATGGGGGGACCACTCTGATAGGGGGCACTCTGATGGGGGCACCACTCTTATAAGGGGACCACTCTGATAGGGCCCCACTCACAGTTGATTCGTTCATAATTCTTCATGATGGGTGTTCGTGTTGCGCATTGAACACCATCTAAGCCATGATGTTTTCATTTTTGAATTCAGTGAATAGCGAAGGCATCAGCTTTGGCGAAACACATAATAGAACGAAAATCAACAAAGCTATGTGCACAGTGATTGATTATCAATGTAGAACATACCGTGATCATTATGGATCTCAGAAGAAGAATTTACATGGATTCGTACGTTGGAACTGTACCTACACAATGGAACGTAAAGTTGATACCTCAAAGTGCATGAACACAAATTGGACACATAATATTAACAAGTAAAGCCCGTAAAGGAAAAGCAGCTATGATTAACTCAGCATTTCCTGATCTGCGATACGTACTCTTCGAGACCTGCATCACCATACCTAATTACAATTGTAAACTCTAACATTATTGTCAAGCTACAAAGAGGTAACCAACTGGAGGGTATGGACATCGTAATTTCGGCTAAATGTACTTATCATTTCAATGAATCATTAAAAAGGGGGCAAGCGAGTATTTTCAAATTTTGATTATTGGTAGCAGGTTGCTTCAAGTTCGTTACGCAACAAACTAATGTGCAATCCACGCCATACCGTTGACCATCGTACACTATAACCTACTCAGACATCAGCATGTAGGGATTCAGGGCTGATTCGGAAGGACCAGACGCGTTGAGAGGCGTGTTGGAGGCGGGCTGTGAGCTGGAGCGAGTCTTGGCCAGGGACTGGTACACACTGCCGGCCCTCGATGGCGTGAGTGCTTCGTAGGTGTTCGTTGGGTCGGTGAGTTCCTCTGCAGCTCGGCCTTCACTATGCCCTTTCGATTTGGCCAGTGACTGGTATATGCTGCCTGCACGTGACGGCGTAACTGCCTGATACGTGTTCGCTGGATCGACAAGCTCCTCTGCCATTTTCGAGCTGGTGTAATCGTCCACAGAAGACATTGCTGTGGATAACGCCTGGTAAGTACCGTTCTGCTCATCATTACCTTCCAACGCTTCATATATGTCCTCCCCTGCTGTGCCAGGTTCCCCCGTCGCATCCTCACTGTGATCAGCTGCGATTGGATGATTGGCTTTGATGGTGGTGGTTTCGACTGTTGGTGAGACAGTGCCACTGCTGGGTGCACCTTCCTGGTCTTTTCCGGCTGGTATTACTGAATACAGTAGAGCACCATCAGCTGTGTCGCTTGTCGTATTCTGGTCTTCGGCATGAGCCACACTCGTGGGCGACGTGTCCGTGGCGTTTTCTTCGTCCTTGGCAGGCGTGTCATAGTTGTCCTCTTCCTGTGAGTCGGCCTCGTCATTCTCCGCACCACCCTTTTGATTTGGGACAGCGTCGTACAACACAGGCGTATGGTTTTGCTCAGTATCACCGGCTGTCGTGTCCCGCACGCTTTCATCATCGTCACTGGAGGAAAGGGGTATGTCGGGAATATCATCATCGCAGATCTTTGTGCTTGTTCCGTGATCTTCAACTCCCGTCACTTTGATAACGATATCGTCGTAGATGGGTGCCTCACTCACTGCCGCATATGTGTAAGTGTCGCCAGCCTCAGATTCGGAAGATCCAAACTCGTCTGGTACGGGGTCGTCCGTGTCGTGTGCCAGGACTGAATTTCGGAATGAGCCACGTAGAGAGCCACGCAGAGCTTCAACTGGTACTTCGTAGGCTGCTATCTGGGGCAACGGGCTATCCGGCTGCCTGTACACGGAATCTCGGAGAGGTGATCGAGGGGTGGTTGCAATCCGAATCCTGAGTGAATCGCTAATGGCGCTGTTGCGAGAACCAGACCTCTCCACTAGTTTGATCAGCTCGCTCTCTGGCTTTTTTCCTCGTGCTGCCTGCCCTTCCCCACTTGATGAACCATGTGCTGCACTGCCGTCCCCTGTATCGTCGTCAGCCTTCTTATCTGCGTTTTGAATCGTGTCATATATTTGTTGATTTTCTGGCGTTGGACCGTCTCCTTCTTCAGTGCCTTCATACCACTGTTCTATGTCCTGTTCGCCATCATCCTCGGGCACTATCATCTCTTCATCGTCCAACTTCGCCTTGCTCATCTTACGCTGGATATCACCGCTAGCTGGTAGGAGGCTGATCTTTCTCGAGACAGTCCTCTTCAGTTGTGAGTGCGTTCGACAAACGAGAGCGATAAAGACTCCGTTGAGGATGACGCTAGCCGCCAGCAACGCAGACGACGAAATAGCCAACATCCTCCACGCATCTGCACAACAGCACGAAAAATGCAAAGAGTACAAATTAGTAAATCGAAGCCACGACTTCTTGTGACATCCTTTGAAACCAGGCAGGCCACTCCTGACAAAGAAAATACCATCACCATTAATTTAATGGTTTCACAGTGCAGGTGCATACATACAGTACATGTACCTACGGAGAGAGGGTAAGACAAAATGAAAGCAAACAAACGTACAGCAATGGGTGCGTAGGCGCTACAGGCATGTGACTACTCCCATAGTCGCCATATTGAACTGTGAACTACGGGAGATGGAAAGAGTAGGATACAGTCATGTACGCTCTCGCTCTGCATAATACTGGCACACACAGAGACATAGACAGCTATAGCGACAACACGCGAAGTGAAGGGTAGTTGGCCGCAGCCATATGTGAACCGAGTAACGAGTGAAGTATGGAAGCAAGTACTGAGAACAGAGTGTCTCAGATGGAATAGGTGCACAAGCGGATAGCAGAAATAGGGCATGATTCAGAATCAATTGGGACCGTAATATTTATTTTCCTGGACCAAGCTATCGAGGAAAAGAACCTCGCGCCGCCGGACGCAGTAGTGCGGGATAGAACCGGGTGTATATCCTCAATGGCGATTTGGCAACATGTAGGCATGGCAAGCACATCACGGCAAAAAATTTATAAAAAAGCAATAATAAGATGCACAGAAATGAAGGGTGGGACGGCAGGGACACTGGTTTACATATGCATTTTTCTGATTTCTTCTCCAGTGTATGTTTTATTGCAATGTAATCCATTGTGTTAATTTTTGCCTGTAGAAGAGGGCTGATATCTTTGGAAAAGAAAGGAAAAACGATAAAGAACACACCATATGCCATATTTACAACCGAAAATGTTGCGCGAGAAATTATTTCTCGCCTATCTCGCTTCGCTCGGCGGGAGAGAAAAACAACCATTCCGTATTCGTGAAGAAACACTTGCTATTTTTCATTTCTAAGAAAGCCATGACAGTAAGGTGTTTTCAGTTGACTACAGAATTGCTCGCTGCTTTACCGCCAGAAGAAGGTGTGTGCTGTACTCTGTACTGTAGTTGTGTTGGCCATGCTGTCCGAGAACCACACATAAAATTGCTGAAGTAGTCAAGAGTTGGCCTACATAGCCTGTATCACATGGAATTAGAGGGGTTCCTCTCGGAAGTTGAAATATTGCCCGCGCGCCAAAGTTTTAAATATGTCCGAAACATTTCAGCAGCTGTTCTAAAGGCAGAAGGAGACTGTTCCTCGCGTGCTATGGTGAAGGAGGAGGGATAGAGGCTTAGAGCGTTCATAAAATGTAAATGTGGCTGCACGCAAACGCGTTTCTCGACGACATTCTGCGGCAACAGATGCGGGCTACAGCCGTGAAGCAATCTGTTATGATATTCACATTACCAGTTGTAACAGATGTGCAGAAGATGCCCACCTTCGTCCAGAACCACCAAAAATTAAACGGAAAGATTTATAGGCATGTGGGGTACCGTGAGAGACACTATGGGACATTGAAAATTTGGTTTGCTCGTCTGCTGCTCATGTGGTGGACAAACTCCCGCATTGTAGAGTATTCTACTATTGTCATGTGATAACAAGTACAGATGTACATTCTCAACAAAAGAGATAGTGTGCTGTTTCACGAAAAGAGACATTGGGATGAGGATTAGTATACAGGGAACAAGCAAAGACTAAAATGTAATGCTTAGAAGCTGGGCCCAAACTCTCGTTTCTATCCATTGTTGGTTGGGTCGACGCGAATGCGTCGTGTGCTTGCAAACACTAACCATCACAAAGAGCTCGACCCTCATTTCAACGACATTTGCCTAGACAGTTCTTTTCTGCGATGCATGAACTTTTGCTGGTGCTAAAAATGTAAGATCATGAAGCACACTAATCTTGAGGAAATATTCGTTTGTTTGTTTATTTGCACGTAAAAGAAGGTGTATATGGACTTGCCAGTTGCCACAGCGAACGCGCAGCACGGAGTAAATCTATGCACTGCACTCCATGCTCTGCACAACTCAGGCAACCCTATGCCCACTCCACTACAATGCGCTGGTGCGCGAGTATCAAACTTCTTTCTCCATGATCGGGTGTCGGAAACTTTTCTCAGAGTGGACTGCTGTGCTCTATCCCATCATGGTCGTAGACTCTCTCCGTCGCACGCGGCCTAGAGCGCCACCGGTCGGCCACGTACTACATGTACTTGACGTAGTCATAGGTCTACGTCCGCCAGAGTCAGAAACTCCAAGACTCTGCTTTGGCCGAGACCGCTTGTCCTGCTCCAGCGTAGCAGCAGACTCCCGCGGCCGCCTCCGCCAAAATCCCGACAAATTTGGCTGCAGCCTTTCAGCTCGCCGTGGGTCATCGCTTTTCTCCGCTGGTGTCTCGCCTTTAGAGAGGAGCAGTAACTCATAACTGGAGCAGTGTTTACGTTGTGACTGCGACATTGACCTTCACTTCTCCAGCCTGCACATCGACTTTCCGGCACGACGTTTGCCTCTGTATCAGCTCGGCACTCACAGCCCAGTCGTGCAACTCGGCGTCGGTGATGTCGCCCGTATCGCCACCGGTCGGTGTCTCCCAAAACTACTCCGCCAAGCCATCTGATTCTCCCAGCGGTTCCAGCTCACATCTGCAACGGAATCATTTGGGGTGAGGTTGTGGACCTGATATGATTGTAACGTTTTGAACTGTGGCTGGGCAAAAAGCCTGTCTCAGGGAGCAGTGCTAATGCAGGGCCTAAGGCAGCTCCCACGGAGTGGTGCAGCGAAGTGCCCTGTTGAATGGGGGTCCTCCCCCATAACATTTTAGGAATTTAGAATGCAAATCCTGCACTCTGGGCGCATTTCGGTTCATCTCCTAGCCCCTGGGTACAACTAACTTGAAGGTCTGCATCTATGATGGTTCACCATGGTTCACTGGACGTAGAATGTTCCTGATGACAGGGTAGTTTGTTCTACAACTCCCTGTACAAAATCATACATCGAACCGTTTTCTCCCCGATTTTGGACGTTCCACGTGGACCGACTTATATTAGTACGGCCGCGCCAGTGGTGCTGGCCCTGTAATGGCGCTACCCCTACGCACACGATTCGGGGTGAAACTCCGGTTTTAAAGGGGAAGTTAAGGCAAAAATTAAAATTTCACCAGTTGTAGTCTTCGGGGTGCTGAGTCGAATGGTCGTGGTCCGAGGAAGCTGAGACGCTCCCTTCCTACTTGAATCCCAATCGAACTCGCGCACTTCCACCGAAACTGGGTGACTGCGCCCTACGAGATGGGGATTTGTATGCAAAATGTCACTAAAAGCGCCATTTCGTTCTTATAAAAGCACGGATGACCGCGATTGGCCCATATGTTGTAGTCTTTTGGACGCTGAGTCGACTGGTTTTGGTCCGAAAAGGCTGCGATGCAGCGTTCCGCCTTTATTCCCAATCGAACATGGTTGAACAAGTGGTCACGTGCTCCTGGGTGCCCAAATCACCTGGTCACCACGCCAGCAGGTGACAACTTTCACACCAAGGTTCAACTCGAGTTCAACTCGAGTGACAGGACTGCACCCAAAAAAGGTCAAACAGGCTAGTAAGTTGTACCCTGCAGGCACGGTGACCAGGTGACTGGCGTACGCAGGAGCACGTGACCGCTTGTTCAACCATGTTCGATTGGGAATAAAGGCGGAACACTGCATCGCAGCCTTTTCGGACCAAAACCAGTCGACTCAGCGTCCAAAAGACTACAACATATGGGCCAATCGCGGTCATCCGTGCTTTTATAAGAACGAAATGGCGCTTTTAGTGACATTTTGCATACAAATCCCCATCTCGTAGGGCGCAGTCACCCAGTTTCGGTGGAAGTGCGCGAGTTCGATTGGGATTCAAGTAGGAAGGGAGCGTCTCAGCTTCCTCGGACCACGACCATTCGACTCAGCACCCCGAAGACTACAACTGGTGAAATTTTAATTTTTGCCTTAACTTCCCCTTTAAGACATGGGTACTTGGCTGGAAGCTTGGACTACGGTTGTGTGCGTGCTTGTCGATATCGAAACAGAGTGTACAGCTGAGCTCCTCCCGTGTCAGGCGATGACTATTGACGCTCACTATTATAACGCAACAGGCGCATGACTGGCCTATGACAGGAATTTCTGGATGGCTACAACTCTCTGATGGCTATCGCATGCCATGTTGTCTGTACCTTTGTCTGGGTGTGCGTGTGTGTGTGTGTCTCTCTCTATCTACATATCTATCTATCTATCTACTCAATCTGCGGACAGAGCTGTTTCGTCATTTGTGGACTCATCAGCGCAGCACAGAGAAAATGAGGCCGAACCTGATAGCAATGAACAAAACATTTTTCATATCTATCTATTTATCTATCTCTCTCTCTCCCTCTCTCTCCCTCTCGCTCTCTCTCTCCCTCTCTCTCTCTCTCTCTCTCTCTCTCTCTCTCTCTCTCTCTCTCTCTCTCTCTCTCTCTCTCTCTCTCTCACACACACACACTCTGTTGTGAACTGATGTGTTGTTTTCCTGTGTGATGGCATTCCCCAAACTGTCTCGTCTAGTCGCGTGCATGTGTTATATGAGCATGCGCGATGTTGTAGTCGAGAGTCCTTTTTGTCAGTCTTCTTGTTCGTCTCTGTCAGAGTAGTCTACCTTTCCGTAATGTCCAAATATATGATGTACAACAAACCAGTCTTGTCCTTTGTGTCCTGCGTCCCGGGGAACGGAATGGCTGAGATTCCGTTACAACGTGGTGCCGAAACCCGGGACGCAGAGGATGAGTAAGTTTGTCATGAGTCGTCGTCGTGAACAACGAAGTAGCTGTTACTTTGAAGTAAACAGAGCATGGGAGCGGAGGAGGTGAAGAGCTGGTGGGAGCGGAAGACGACACGGAGAGGAGGCAGAGAAGGTGATGGACTAGAACAGTCACTGTGGACTGGAGCCTGAGACGGCAGGAACCGGGACGGAGCCTGTGGCCGTGGCTCGCCAGAGGACAGTGGACGAGTCTGGCGTCACCGACTGTGTGCCGTCCTTGTTGTTCGTCTTGTTGTCTTGCTCGCTGTGTTGTTCTCTCTCTGTTCAGTTCGTTGCTTGTTGCTGTGTTGTTTCAGTTTGCTTGTTGTCGGTCTGTTGCTCTTGTATTCGTTCTGTTGTTCTCCATTGTTTTTGTTGTAGATATATTTGGTGCGGCTGTGCGCATGTTATTATTTTGTTGGAGCTTCGGCTCCCTTATTTCGGTTGGCCTTGTTTGGCGTGGCCTGGTTGTAGAGCGTCGGCTCTAGGTTTGTGTTTGGCCCTGTTTCGTGGCCCGGATATTATTTTAGAGCGTCGGCTCTAGGTTGATGGTTGGTTTTCGTTTTTCTGTTCTGCTGTGGTTCCTTTTGCTGTTGTGCATGTGGAACGTGGTGTCGGTTTATTATTTTGTGGAATGTCATCAAGGGGGCAGGTCTTGTGAAATGATGTGTTGTTTTCCTGTGTGATGGCATTCCCCAAACTGTCTCGTCTAGTCGCGTGCATGTGTGATATGAGCATGCGCGATGTTGTAGTCGAGAGTCCTTTTTGTCAGTCTTCTTGTTCGTCTCTGTCAGAGTAGTCTACCTTTCCGTAATGTCCAAATATATTATGTAAAACAAACCAGTCTTGTCCTTTGTGTCCTGCGTCCCGGGGAACTGAATGGCTGAGATTCCGTTACAACTCTCTCTCTCCCTCTCTCTCTCTCTCTCTCTCTTGATCTACCAATCTCTATGTACCGTTAAGTACCGCCAGAGCGCCCCGTCTTGCGAGAGCGCCCCACCATTTTACAGCCAGGGAAAGGAAAATCGTATGGCAGAGTGCAACGAAGTTTTTACGATGTGAGAACCTAAGTGTACTAAGGGCACACTTGGCAGGTTTTGTTTGGAGCTTGTGTCCGCTCGAAGGTACGGATTGACTGCAATATGTAGAATATGTGTACAAGGTTCGTGTCGTATGACCTACAGACAGCAGACCACCTCCACAATACGGCCACGAAAGGACGAGATGGTGGGGTGCTCTGGCGGTACTTCACGGTACATGTCTATCTCTACTGCGCCTTGTATCCCTAGCCCAGGCAAGTTATTCTGACCTGAGCTGGGTGTCATGGTTCGCTAAGGCCCAAGCTACTGTCCACACCCCATGTCTCATCGGTACTCATAGCCCAGGGTTGTACGCTGCATGGCACTGGTCACGCGAGGTACACTTCACACAGGTCTGCCACTCTCACTCCGCAACTATTCCATGCACACCTCCTTGTTCGTGTGTGTGTGTGTGTGTGTGTGTGTGTGTGTGTGTGTGTGTGTGTGTGTGTGTGTGTGTGTTGAACGGTGCGATCCCAGCACAAGCTGCTATGGCTTCTGCTGTAGCATCGCTATCATCGCCTCCGGCGATGGGCGTCAAACGGTCAATGGTCAACGGTGTGTGTGTGTGGGGGGGGGGGGGGGTGTATGTGTGTTTGTTCATGAGTTGGGATTGACTCTCATTTGTTGAATAAAATCGGAAGTCACAAACGAGATGAAATGAGAAAATTCTATTAAAAGCAACTTACCGTTTCCAGTGCTTGTGCAGTTGCTCGTGCAAGACATCTGCAGTGTAGCAGTATCTGGAAGACAATACACAAAATTCATAAATTGACCAGCAAGAAACATGGGTGACCATTGATTATTCCGCTTTTGGGTAGAAGGTGTACATCGAAACCTGTCGTATTCTTATACAGACAGATATTTCAATTTTCCCTAGCTGGTACAGCCTGCAGGAATCATTTTCGGTGGTAGAAACATGCCCGGCAGAACCTTTTGTAAAACGACTGGACAATGGCTTACCCGCTTCGGTTGACATACTGGTTGACGTACTTTGGTTGGATGCTGGATCAGTCGTTTCGCCTTGAATCAAATCTGAGCAATGTATATAAGCAGTTTACACAGACAGAGTGTGATAGAAGATCGAGCCCTCGATCAGTAATGAACATGTATGCAATGCAGGGATGCGGAGTATTTTGCATTATATGTATTTGTGACACAACATGTAGCACCCAGAGGACTGCTGTTCCTCTCCTCGTTATGGTGTACACATTATATATTTTTAATGTACGTGTGTATGTGTGGACTACACATATGAGCAAAACGTGGACTATCAGGTCCCTGATTGCTCCACACCTTAATTAGATACGTCTGTACCGGCATGTGCCCTGGACTACTAGATTTCTGTGAATGCAACCTTTTCGGCGCGGGTCTAGTATCGTATTATTATTGTGTGTTGTTTCCTAGCACTGGTGATGCCACATTTTAATATTCCTTTCTACAACACACTCGTTAAATTTACCATTGTTTTACCGTGTATTAGTTTATAGGCATCAGAACGTATCTCAATAACGCTGGGGGAAAAATACTGTGTCTGGTAAACTTGCATCCAAAGCTCTCCTGATTTCGTGACTGCACGTTGGCGTATGTGTATATGTTGCAACAATGGTTTGAAGAACATACAGTACATTTTAAACAGGCTTGCAAGAGAATTTCAGAGGTCAGACTTTGCTTCTTCAGCTTGCAGAGAATACATATGTTGATATTTACTAATGTGGCAGTGCTGTCGCCACTGGTATGGCCAAAAATGTCATGTCCCTCCCTCCCAGTTTCTTATGAATGGAATGACCCATGCTACATGCACTTCTCATTTGACTAGCACTCAAGGGCTGTAGTAGTTCAGTGAGGACTATTATCAAGTGTACATGACCAAGAGCATGCGACTCCTATCTCGAGCTCTGGTGGTTTCATCCATGGCGGAAAATCCGGAAACCTTAACCCTTGCGTCATTCTTTGGCAAAACAATGATCACGTGCGTACGCTTTCCCGCGCTAGTTTTGTAGATACATGTACGGTGAGAGTTCATCAGGTTCAGGGCACGTCGATCTATCGTCCCTTGTCCTGCTTCGACTACCACAGCTGGTATGTACAATTTCTTTGTAATTTGATCTCTGGCTGCGCAGGCAGGCATAGTGGGATTTTCTAAGACCATGATTAAGAAAAAGAGGGTACCAGGTTCAAGTCCTGCTTGAAATCGAAAGGATTTTGTTCCTGAGACGCACCATTAATTGGGAACTCGTGACCTGGCAGGAGGGAAACATGGATGCCAATGAATGGGATTTTCGGTCTTTGACCAATTTGGGGTGGGTCTGATCTACTCGCCTCCCACGGCTTAGGAGCTGCATCTGCGCATCTGCCTCGAGCCGAGTCTTACGCGACCCGTGAATGTTTTTTTACGCATGGTGGCATCAGTGAGTCAAACAACTGCGAAAGACCCATTTAGAAAATTCCGCCTTGGGCTGGGGGATCGTCGAGCTGCAAACTCTTGCTATTTAAAATGTACTGGCTGATGTCCTTTGAAAACAAAGTGTGTACCGGCAACTGTCAGATTTATAGAGCTGGAGATGCCTTCTCCTGTGATACTGAGATTGGGTATGGGAAAATGACTGGGCGTTTGGCCGATATGAAACTGCACCACGGCCACCCCTGTGGACCTGGCTCCAGCCCTGCAGGGGTTGTTTCGCGTAACAAACAGAATACTGGTACTCTATTCGCAGAAACCCTAAGCAGAATATATGCAGCGATATCACCTTGTGCATCCATTGTTCACTTAGCAAACATTAGACTGATCTTAGGGGCGTGGCGTGATTTCAATGTACCAGAACGTATTGTGTGAGGCGAAGTGGGGCTCTTAGAACTCACCTAGAAGGCAGGTTGTGATTATCAACAGCTTGGCTGCGACCTGCGGTGGCGTCTGCATTTCCATATCTGGCGCGGTTTCCTACATACGACTCTGACAAGATTGAAATACTGCCGCTGGTCAAAATATCTATCAAACCGCTGGACCAGATCGCATCCAGTGGAAGCTCTACTTCCGAGGTTTCAATGAATCCATCAACTTCCTCACTTCCTTATTACCAATGGCTCCTATCTATAGAGCTAGGAGTTGGAATATCACTCTAAAGTGCCACAGATACTGCATGCAGTATTAATAACAAGCCGCGGTAAGGTTAGCAGAACATTTCCACCCATTCAACTCCTAACCGTTATCACTGTGTGTGGCGTGACCGCTCAATGCTAACTTCCACCTTGCACTCTTCTTCGTGACCTGTGCTGGTCCGTGGTTGATTACTGCTGGCCATGGCATTCACAGGGCACAGTGAAGTTCATTGGCATTGGAGTTATGCCAGTGTGAGTCGAGACTCAAAACGTGACAGATAGGAATAACGGTTATGTCGAAAGCCGTCTTCTTTTAGAACCTTTGACAGCAGAAATGTGACAATACCACATCGTGGTCGCACTCAGCTGTCAACTAAGCTACCAACGTGCATGTTCGTACCATATGCTCACAGTGAAGTGTAAGGAGCTGCAGTTTTCTCACCAGCTAAAGGCTACAGCCAAGCTGCGTAAACTTAGCACGTCTACGTGGAGTTGTATGCTTGATCATGTCCCCTAATGACGCTAGTACACACGACGTGTGCTTAGGAATGAACGTAGAGTACAGATTGTCCTAACCAATGCAAGCTGCTTCGGCCAACAGGGCCTCGTTCGTGCAACCATGAGTCGAATTCAAACTGAACTGACAGCTGTAGAATGGTGTATTGCATCGAGGTGACATGTAACCAGCGAATTTTAATGTGTTTTCGCCGTGTCAGATTTAATGAGCCCTTGAAGGATAATTCCTGCAGACTAAATGGCAGGATTTGGTACTTTTGGTACTTTTCGAATTAAATGTAGCGTGCATGTTTGCTATCTAGATGAAGGAATGGATGCTAGGCCTCTTTTACGGGCAAACAAAACAATTCAATATACCACACCTGGGTATTGCAGTGCGTAACCAGAACCAGCAAAATTAGTTTTGTTTGGTATGTTTTATACGTTTTGGCATACGAATAAAGAATAGGAGCAGAGTCTAAGGATTTCCCTGTCAAGAAGGCTTTGCATGGTTTTTTTAATGTCGCATGTTCGAGCAGAATCGATCAACGTTTCCAAGGAGAGTTTCTGAGAAAAGGAAAGGAAAAAGGAAAGGAAAAGACAGCCAAGCAGATATACCACACACTCAGACTTGATGAACCACTAGGCCTCTGCATTGCTCGACATGAAACCTTCTAGAGTTGGTGGACAAGCCGTTGATTATTCACTCTCATTGTAATATCAAAAAAAGTATTCTTTCTAGACCAAAGAGTGGTATATTTGATAACATTCAATAACGATAGAAATATTTACGATACTTCTCCAGACGTTTCGTTGTTCTGAACAACATCGTCAGTGGATAAAGACTTTCTTTCTTTATCCACTGACGATGTTGTTCAGAACAACGAAACGTCTGGAGAAGTATCGTAAATATTTCTATCGTTATTGAATGTTATCAAATATACCACTCTTTGGTCTAGAACGAATACTTTTTTGATAAACCTTCTAGAGGCGTGGTCAATAGGAAAATTTTGTTAGAGTGTATAACTTCATTCAGCAACGGTGAAACAGGGACATTTTCTTGGAAATAGAGGCAATGAACGCATTCATTTCGATATCCTTCCAAACTATCTCGCGCACAATGGGAGTTACGCGAAAAGGACAAGTCAAGTGACGAAATGATCTTAGGGAAAAAGATTTTTGGCTCGATGGATGCAGTGAACGGGATTTTCGGTGTTTGACCACTTGATGGTGAGCTGATCTACTCACAACCCACCGTTGTAGGAACTGCATCTGCGCCTTGATCCTTGAAGGGTGGTGGCGTTCCGACGGATGCGGAAAACTCGGCCTCTGCCCTAGTCTGACGTCAACCATTATTGTTTTTTTAATCATTGTAGTTCACACTGTACACCAGCCTCATCGTAATTTGGAGTTGCATATTTGGAGTTGCATATTTGGAGTTGCATATTTGGAGTTGCATATTTGGAGTTGCATATTGTGCAATCGAGTTCTACAGAATAACAAGCTACAATGTATTTGTTTACAAACATCAAGCTGTTCTGACCGAAATGAAAACATTCAGTTCCAAAGGGCCAATCCGAATAAATGGCAGGGCAAACCAGCGAAAAACGTAGGTGGCGTCAAACCCAGGAATGACTTCTATTCTAGAAATACTCTCAAAGACGCTGGTGGAGAAACTGTACTGCGGAAGTACATACATATCATTATTTACAATCCGAGAGATGAATGGTGCCATTCAGGTAAGATGTCACTCAATCTTTAAACAAGATGGACTATTGGTCTCGACCGGGACGACTGTTGAGGCTTCTGGTTGTCTAGAGATGGGCTCCGTCAATGGCTTCGCCTTGTCCAGTGTTGTAGTTACTTCGCGAGCTATTCCCGTAGTTTTGAGATGACCTACATAATGTCTGCTGGCGCGAGTGGAGGATTCTCCAGTAGTAGATAGTCTCTGATAAGTGTTTTCCCTGCTCCGTTCTGCGTTCAAGCCCTGGTATACATGATCCTGGATTGGCTCGACATCTTCCACGTTTTCATCATGATCACTTGAGCTGGCCGAGGTTGATGGCTTCAGGGTGTGGATTTCTGGCAGTGAGAAATCCCTGGAGGGACTTGTTGGTGCCTTATTAACCATAGGTGGGTTTGAAAGCTGTCTGTGGGGCAGGTGTTCGGTACCTGGCTTGGTGGATGCGGCACCATCGTCGTCAGTACTGGATAAAGCCTTTTCTCCAGCTGCATTCAGATTGTTGTATTCATTGCTATAAGGTGCGTTGATGCCATCTGACGTGTCTTCCACAGCATCAGCTTGTTGGTGATCTTGATGTGCAATACTGGCCTCTGAGAGCTCATGATACCCGGTGTCTTCCTGGAAATCGGTTTGATTCTGATTAACGCAACCACCTTCAGCCCGTGTATCTGTTGATTCAACTAGCGCAGACTCGCTCATGTCATCATCGGTAATGGTAGTTCCCGGACCAGTGGCCGAGGCATCCGCAGCTGGTGTTTTGTCGTGATCAAGAACACACCCTTCTTCAAACTCGATATATTCGTGGTCAGGTCTTGCATTTTCTGCGACGGAAATGTTTTTTTGTGCCACGTTGCCTGAGGAGCCTGTTTCGTTTTTTCCCTCGCCACCTTCGATGGCGGTGTAAACTGGCATCTCCTCTATAGCTTCATATGAATCGTTTCCTACATGACTGGGCTGCGGCAAGTCGCCTATGGGTGACATGGGTAGAGTGTATGCCGCTCTCTGTTGTGTTGGCGGCCTGGGGGCGGTTATAGGAAGACGAGAAGAGGCAGATCCTGTGCTTAGGGCCAATGAGGCTCTTAAACCTAAGTTAGCAAGCTCCTGGTTAGATTTCCGCTGTCTTTTCTGCAACGGTGTGTTATCCCGAAGACTGGGCTGAACCCGAGTCTGTAGATCAGGCTGAGCTGCGCTGTGACCAATATCAAATGGAATCGTATCATAATGTGTTGGTAGAATGCGGCCAGATTCTTTTCTCGCCAAGTCCTTGAACGCATAGCTAGTATCCAGTGCTGATCTGCGCCGTCTGAGCGCCATCCTCGTAGTGCGGGCATTCGCCATCAGAACGATATTTCCGAAGCAGCTGATTGCCATGGTGAAGAGGAATACAATCCAGAAATCCTCTGAAACGGAGGAAAAATACAGGCAAAATTGTGTCTGAATTTTAGTAAACTCCCTCCCGACCTGCAGCAATGTAACACATTAGCATTCAATGCGATCAAATCAATTGGATGCTCCTGTGAGGTTTCCCCTGGTGTCATGTAACGTGCTAACTTCGATGCAGTCATCACAATTCTTCAAGATACACCTTATTCTAGCTCTCAAAGAGATTTAGCAGCGTTGGCCCAGAGTTAGTAGCTCTCAGTAATGGGCACTTTACGAATAACCGAATAAATGTAGTGTGCGACTAACGATAAAAACTACAACCACCTGCATCTCCTGCCTCCACCATGCCTAACAAGCCAGCACGCAAGATAAATTGGCAAAATCTGGAGTTGGTTTTTGAAGCAAATAATTATAGACACGTTATTTATCAATGTTAATTCCAATGTTAGGTACCTTACCGGCCAATGACACCATTGTACAACTAGTACACACGACGTTAATATGACTGATGCCTGGTGACGTCACCGCATTACTATGTCACTCTGGGTCTCACTAAGCAATCTACAAGCAAACCGTTGTAGATTTACATCGATTATGACGCCCCTATTGCTGATGGATATGGGATACTCCTAACAAAAATATTTTTCTGGCTGTGTTCCGAGAATCGCAGAAGGCGCTCAGTCGAAATGGGTAAATGAATTACTGGCTGCCCTTATCCTCAGCATCTCGCTGGTCTGACGCTTTCGAATTAAAAATAAAGCAACCGTGCCTGGTATTGAGGGCAATACTCTGGGAGAGACCAGAGAAAACTACCATCGCCTCACGTCCACACGCCTAAATAATCAATCCTAAGACGACCTACGGCGCTGGTATGGTTATCTCGGCACTGTAGTGCACTGTGTTGCGAAACGAGCACACGTTGTCACTTTTAAATTACGTTTGTAACATGATATGACCATAGTGGTGACTCACTGAAGTCAACATCTGGCTTGTGGTCGTGTGCAGTTCCTCCAGAATTACCAGCTAGCACAACGGAATAACTAAGCACGTCACCGCCTGTTGCATGTTTCGAATTTGAATGACACTGTGAATCAGATTCAAACTAGGAAACTAGAATACATCCCAAGTACTTTTTAACGGATGTCGCGACAGGGGTAACCCTCTGTCAACGGATGTTACTCTCCCCAGATATTGGCATCATGTCTGCTAACACCTGATCCACGAAGACTGGCTTCCGTAGACCCAGTTCACACAGGCCTATCGCGTTCTTTGAACTTAGTTATTTTTCCGCGTGCATACAGCGCTTCTGTCCTGAAAGTACGCACTCAGTCACTCGTGTTTATTATCGCGATGTTTCCGCTTGGAAAAACATGTCCTACGATTAGACCTTACGTATTGAAGTACTCTGAAGTCACGTGTTCTGCACCATACACAGTGTTACCAGTGTCCAGAGTTGCCATGCCAACAGAACAGAGCGCTCATGTATAGTAAACCTGGTGACCACTGCGAGCCGCACAACACACAAGGTCAATGGAAACATCCTTCTGCCAATATCACCAAGTGGTTTGATCGAACCACTCGGTGTATTTTCTTATTTACTAGGAATAATGGCAGATAGATATTTCCACAGGAACCTCTCTGCGATACCAGTAAAGAACCTGCTCAGTGAGATAGCGAAATAATGGGATGTCACAGGAGAAAATAACTTTCCTGAGTTCCGTTCTACTTTTACTAATCTGCAAGGTAACCGTATGAAACAATAAATTATTGTGTGGTCTTGTGATAAAGCGATGCTCGATAGTTATGACTTAGGCATTTGACTAAAATAATATAGCGTCGTAATGTCACACTGACTTGAAGCAAACGCGATCAATGAATCACACCAGCTAAGACATCATGAATCCATGAATAAGAACGGGAAGCACTAGATAATAACAGCGAATCTACATTAAACATGTATGATGCATGTGATTGCAGCGGATTCGTTTCTGCTGGTGGCATATCACGTTCAACGTTTACTGTAAAATTATGGCATCATTATACCGTCCACTAGAGAGCATTATAGAGCGTGTCACAGGGTGTACAAATGCATGGGCATGATCTTCACAATACTGCAGTATCTGTGCGCAGCAGTCGGTCTACATCAGCATTTAGTTAAGCAAAATATTAATTATGACTCGTCAACTTCACTTATTCGCTCGCAACGGAGAAATATGAAGTTCTTAACAACTTGGTTCGGTAAACAAACTGTTAGCCATGATGTACGTATCACGTGACCAATGCTACTCACCCAAGCCGGGAGAAATTCTGGTGCTATGGATAGCGTGTTTTTCTTCCGTCCTGTAGTACTGGATGGAGCACATTCTTAAGCTGCCATAATCATCGCACTCTGGCAGTCGTGCGTGTACGCTCCATGGCCTAATCTTTTCCGTGTCTCAAGGATCGATCCGGAGTTCTGTTCTCGCAGTTGGACAGCGCTTCCTCTCACGTCTCAGCTCTTCCGGGCTCTGGATCAGTCACTACGTCCACATATGCTGGTAGTTCCGTCTGGAGATTGTCAGGATTTGGTATCGCGCCTTGCACGCTGATTGCCGTGATATGCATCGGATATGCTGGTGCCGACTCGTTTCCAGTCGTGGCCGTTGCGCACTTACTCACAGCTTTCTGAACAGCACGGTGTTGGTGATGCACGACGACCAGCAGAAATATGTTAGAAAGGAAGCTGAGAACTAGAGCCACAAGTCCGGTGATTATTAGTATCCACGTATCGCTTGACACTGCACGTAAAATAGAAAGAGGATTGAACGAGTTATCATAATGTGAACATGAACCGGAAATTGGAGAAGATTCCAGTCGGCTTATAAAAGATGATGATTCAAACCTCTCAGCCTCAGGCGACGATCGGAAGAACCCACAGCGTGGTAGTGAGTGAATCAAACATGACCTACTGGCATAAATGTTGTGGCTAACTCTGAAACCCGAAATGCAGTATTACAGATTTTCTTAGTTAACAAAATCTCTGTTCTGAACATTCACATGCATGGAAGGTAATGGTATGTAATGGCATGTTCTAGCTCATGTTTATCAATCCATTGCACAGAAATCCTAAGTGGTATTATGCTAACGATATCGCGATGCGGTCTTACCTGAACAGGACTCCTTGGCCGGGTGATGATCATCTGCTAGTGTACCTGAACACAGAGTACACAATCAGACACATCCTATTAATGACACAGCAACATACAATAATCAAACTTAATGAGGATCACGCATCTGTCAACAACGTCGATCCAGGGCATTCTGTTTAACGCAAGTAACCAGCTGCTCCTCTTCAACAACCGGCTTGTTCGAAAGTATAAGGTCGTTGTTCATTCCGTCGTCCCATCTGCTAACTGGTAAGAAAGGCAACACATCTGTATTTTTGAAGACGTCCAGTGGTCGTATCCCAGTTGCTGCTGTTGTTGTTACTTTATTTTACTTCACCAAAATTACAGACAGAAGAATGCCTTCTCACTAGACCAGGTCTAGTTCTCTTCATCATTTTGTGAGAACTAGACCTGGTCTAGTGAGAAGGCATTCTACTGCCTGTAATTCTGGTGAAGTAAAATAAAGTAACAACAACAACAACAACAACTGGGATACGACCTCTGGATGTCTTCAAAAATACAGATATGTTGCCTTTCCTACATATAATGCAAGTAAGACACAAAGCAAACTTGCCATCAAGTTCACTTCTCCAATAGGGTGACCGTCAACAAAATGAAGTGAATCAAGAACGGGTGCATTAGGCGTGCAGATCACTTTACCTTCTGTGGCGAGAAGCGCTCCAAGGACAAGGATCCATGAACGTGTGGAGAATCCCCGTGGCCATTCCTTGACTTGGCCCATGTCTACATCGGTACTTGATTCTCCGCTAGAGCACGATCGACGCTACTAAACCAAACTATGTGTGAGGTCAGGCTTTATATTCGCTGTGGTGCTTTGTATAGCTCGGTGGCAAGCATGCCGCTAGAGAGGCCACCATCCCACGTCAGAACATCCCAGACTTGTACGTAGGTAGAGTGACTTACAGGACGTCCGAAACATAAACAGTAGCGCAGACGACACTAGGATCCGCCACATGAATAGGTGGCTTCCCGTTACTTGGCATTTTCGGAACTACTGCAGAAAACGCCAGATGTTCTGCGCACTACATTACGGGGATAATCATGATTCTGGCGAAGGAAGAAAGCACATGTATGTGGTGAAGCAAATTCTGCAAAGTAACGGCAGTATTGTTGCTAAACGTTAGTAGAGTGCGGACGCGTTTAGTCACTCCATACAGTAATCGGCTTACTCACAAATACATCGCATCCTTCAGATTTCCATTGATCAATGATCCAGAGGTCAATGAGGCGGTCTTTGAAGGTACGACCGGGAGACGTCCTTCCTAGTCATGTCTGTCGTTTCTTGTAAAAGACGTCAATGTCAAGCTGTCAACGGACTGATAGTGTACAGACACGAATCTGCGTTTCCTTTAATCTCTATGCGACTTGGTGTACCCAAATCCTGGCTCTGTCCGGAAGTGCCGAACTCGAATATCGAGTAAATAATTCACCTGAAAGGAAAAATGAAACATGGAGACGAGTTATGAGAACCTCCGCTGTTGTAACTAGATAACACGAAATAAGACAGTGCGATAACTGGGTGCTAAATAGGCACCCGCGGATTATGCCGGCAGAAAATTGGCAGAATTCGGTACTTTTCCTGGTAAGTTTCATGCATGTTTGGTATGTGGATAAAGAAATGGAGCAGAATTTGAGGAATTGCCCGCCATAAGGTTTGTATGGTTCTGCCAATTTCACTGATTTCGAGCACAATCTGCCACCTTTTCCAGCATAATCCGCAGGTGCCTAGCGCTAAACTGACAGATTACTGTGCCTGCTGTGTTGGAAGGCTGTTGGGTTGCGCACTGGAGACGTGTTAGAGCTGTAGGTGTCAGGTTGAATGTCACCTTGATCTGTCAGGTTTGTGATGAGTCTGGGTACTATCCACAAGTACCTAAAACATCTACAAGTAACAGACTGCATATGTGTTTCAGCAGTGGTCAGTTCCTCATACTTGCCCCCCCCCCCCAGCAGCTTCATTTACTCTTTTCATAATTTGACATATGAATGGCAACCCTCAATCGCGATGTCATCAGCATTAATTTTCATTCATTTCGCTTCCACCGCAATATCCGCATGGATGAGTTAGAGTCTGTACTAGCTTGTACAAAATTAAAGAATGTCGTTGGCACACTACAGAATGCGGAGCCTTATTTAGAGGCAACTCGGGGTTTCACTCTAGTGCGTTCTCAAATGTTAACACCTTATGGCTTCTCAGAATCCCAGACTGGAACCCTTGAACAGTGGGTGTCAACTAACGGAAACATGTACAATTAATTTCCGATGAGACCATACCCGGGGGCAAAAATCTGGTGTTTTGATGTGCAGCTAACGTTAAGCCCTGTTGCAGAGCCAAATTGTGCGCCTTATTCCTGTTTAGAAGTCATCATAGGATGCGTATTTCTGAAATAGAAGTCTGAAGAAAACCAACTACTGTACATGTCACAAGCACGTCAACAGCACCAATTGAATGACCAGTATAGTGTTAGTAGTGTACATGTATATGATACAATCATAGTCATAATTATAAGAAATAGATATAATTATGGCTCTGCATATTACTTAATCTGCGGACAGAACTGTTTCATCCACTATGGCTACGTATTATAAAGCAGAGAGGTTCCAGGCTGTCCAATAGAGTGCTCAATACCGAAAGGCATGGCCAGTTCAAACAATAAGAGGATGAAAAAGTGTTTTTACTCCGAGTTTCACGCACAAAGCGGTCGGCAGAAAACTGTAGTGTGTGAAACTCGGAGTAAAAACACGTTTGTCATCCTCATATTATTGTTTGTTCAACATAATAGAGATTAGCTGGGTACATCTGCAACTGAACAGGGCAGGCAAACAGTTTCCACTATCGTGTGTTTAATAGGAATCAGATCTTGTCGCTGCACTGATGGTACTTATTGAGCAGGGGAGATTTCCTTGAATGGTTGCACCATCGACTTCATACAGCGGGGGTTCAAAAATAGGTTTCAGGAAAATCACTGTGAGACGATGAAGCTAACATGTCCAGTATGTCTTTGCCATCATGGGTATATATGCACTCGGGTAGGCTCATCGCTCTACGTAGAGCTATGCGATTTCTGTGCAAACGCGAGCCGTGACGTGCTTGAATTTGAACAAATCTAAGATCCAAGCCTTGATACTCGTGGCGTGGCGAACCATTACACAAGAGCTGCTGGTAGCCAATTCGCGACAATCTTGCAGGGGCTGAAAGCTGTTGGTGGCGCCGTATATCCGTAGTTCCACTAGCACTTCCGCTACTATTCAGTCCTGGACACGCTGTGCCTGTTGCAAGGTCTAAATATTGGTGGTTGATTGCCACAACAGGTAGAGGCTGCTGTACAGGCATTCTCCCGGATGACTGCAGGGCATTGTCACTTGTGGATACACCACGGCTCGACCCGCCGTCGCTCAACTGAACGCGACGCAGCGCCGACGAGACCACGTAGTCGTACGCATTGCTCTCACGCCATTCTCGATCTTGTCCCACCACACTGCGAATTCCACTGTTCCAGCCCCGCGGTATGGTTGCTGGCTCCTCAGGAGGCGATGAAGTGCACGATGCGGGCAGGCATAGCGAACTAGGTCTGACACGTCGCCACATCACAACCGCCAATACCACATTCAGTATGACGGAAAGCGCACATGCAGTGGCCAGAATAATCAGGGGCAGAAACAAAGTATCTGTGAAGATAAAGAGACGTGAAACATGTATCACTGGTCAGTCTGATCTGAACGTCACGAAGGATGTTAGTGCATGCAGGCTAATGCCTAATACTCGCGTCCAAGTTTTCATCTCTTTGTCGAACCCTCTATTCGATTCACAACAGTAGAACACCCTAGGCAAAGAGTACGTGGATCTGAATCCAACAAAACGCGAAATGATTGCCGCATTTGAATGAAACCCACCTTCCGTGTTGACCAATGAATAAGAGCAGTTTTGCAAGTCTGGTGCGCTCCCATTGTTGCGCATACTCGTGCTGATGCTTCTCGCCACTCGACGGAAACTAACTGGATGGCACCAGACAACGGCTTGGATGAATTGTTTCCTTTGCCCAGCAATAACAAAGACTAACACACTACTCTGTTTGAAAAGCAAGTCATTAGCGGATTAGAAAGCTTACCGTTCCCACAATTGCACGAGGTGTTCGTCAAATATTTGCATCTCCAAATTCACGCTAAATAAATAAATGCAAGCCACGGCCTGTGAGTGAGAATGCTTCGCTGCCCTTGGTGCGCGTGTAGTGTATGTATAGGTATGTGTTTGTTTGCGTGTGTATGTTCTGTGTGTTCGCTATAGATAGTGTGCTCGTATTATTCCATTGTGTATCAAATAGTTGAACAGAGATATCGTGTGTCGTTTTCCAGACAAAACGAAAGGAGTCACTGATGTAGTTATGTAGTCTACTCATGCAATCATTGCAAAGTAGATCAGACACGCTTCGCTGGTATCCAGCTATATAGTGTGATGGTGTCGTTATAGTACAGTATCCAGTAATAACAAAGTAATGCTACAAATGTTACACCTAACACAATGTGTTTCATGTTAACTGCCACACATGGAATAGAGATATGTTTCGGCTTCATCGCGTGGTTTGGTATACCCAACGTGGTGTTAAGGATGTTTTCTGGTTCTCAGCGCCAGTTGTTACTACGCATTCAATGATATTCACGTGATAGATGACCAGTCTTATTGTGTTGTAACTTTAAAAAAACATTTCATGTCCGAGCAATGATCAGAATTTTTTCCCCTCGCTCCACATATACTGGCATAAGATACATAGACAGCAATAGGAACAGCACTCAAATTTTAGGGTAGTTGGCCGCAGCCAGATGTGACTCAGGAAACCACACAACGATCAAGAACCAGATACAATACCATATTTGCAACCGAGAATGTTGTGCGAGAAATAATTTCTTGTGCAGCTGGCTTGTACTCACTGTATACTTTAGTGGCTGGTGTGTGTGTGTGTGTGACCATGTATGTATAATGCTGATTTATATGCTGAAACGCCGGCAGATAAATTGAAGCAGGCATAACATAGTACAGTCATGTACATGTAATCTTCGACAACACAACTCTGGCTCCCAGCTGTCATTACCGTTCTCAAATGTACGAGCTCGTTTACTCACCCAAGACAAAACACACCCACTGGTAATGTTACCAGAGGCAGTGTTCCGGAACTCTAGCGTGCTGGCCTGCAGACAGACGGCATTCGACATCACCCACGACTGAGTGAGCGTACTCGCCGCAGATACTGTGCGTCTGTGAAGTTGATAAACAAAAGGTGGCCACTGATGGCATAGTTCACACAATGGAGGATGTGCAGGAGCACAAAACGTGCAGTGGATTTGTGCACGCTTTGCGCCCGGATTTACTAGACCTCATAAGCCCGATGCAGCCCCGGCAGCTGGAACCAGCATGCAAGAACATGCACTGGTATGTACACTTACACTTACATTTGCTCAACTCGATATGCGCACGATTTTCACATACGAGACTTGGCGTCTCCCTTGAGAATAGCAACAAAAGACTGCACTGACACGAGAACAAAGATGCACTGCCGAATGGACGTATTCGTGGGGAAATGTAGTCTGGTTTACTCTGGCATTTCGTCTACTGCGAACCACAAAGACAACACAACTTCGGCTGCACTCTGCCATCTCATACATCACTGTTTGTTGGTCGCGTAGTCCAATAGTATTAGGGCAGTTCAGGGCGTACTGAGGAATACCCGGAACGGAAGACCACCCAACAAAAATATTCGCTTTTACGTCTCAAATACGGTGTGCGCGATATGCTTATCATAAAACACGTGTGCAGGGAACAGTTGTGCGCAAATGACACACGCCAGTGATGGTACAGAGCGTAGTACACACCGATATGCCCATCTTACCCTAGTATACGTGCACATGTAGGAAGTGTATCACGGCCAGCATGCAACTTGAACTTGAGCTTGAGCTCTGTAGGTATTCACGTTTCCAAATACGGTTACATGTACATTGGTCTTCCCTGCTGCACAAACTCTATGGATAGTACCACACATCCATCTCATTCTCGTGTCAACATGATTTT